TCTTATGCACATGAATGCATCCAAAGTGTTACACGTGAACGAAAATTCCATCACAAACACTACTTTGTTCCACATGCAGTGAACAACCAAGGATCTGTTTGGCACACATCATCTCTGCTTCCTGCAAAAAAACCATGTCCTCTACAAAACTAAGAAGTTGCCATACCTCTCAATACTTGTTGGGCGTCCATGTCCCCAAAAATGAAAAGATATTTCACTGTGCACTAAGGAAACAAATGTGTGCCATGCAGGTACGTTGTGCTAGGTTTGGGCAAGAAGTCAGACAGCAAGGCTTAAAGTAAGGGAAGAGGCACAAGACATGGGTGCAAAAGTTTGGCGGCAAAGAACAGGGGCAAGCACTTAGAAACAAGAAGGGAACTTTAAAAGTGAACAATACACACACGGGCACGATTGCCAAGAGTTAAAGAACAATATCATAGTGAAAGGTAATCATACCTGGTGTATTCTGGATCATGTACCCAGCAACTTAACATATCAGTTTTAGTAGAGAACTTTAAAGATACTTACAGTTTTTCCTGTTCAAGACACAGCAATACACTTTGGGCAGACAGAGAGCTGCTCCTTGCTTTTGTCTCCAAATGTCATCTATTATTTGTGTGGTTGAGCAATACATTGTCCGTTAAAGGACAGAGAAAGGTTGGAGGAGGTTTTTTAGCAGCTATGGTTTCTTCAGGATAAGGGATGGCTGAGTGACTAACATTCTTCTTGTTGTTGGTACTGTATTCCCAAATGTCCCTTTTCTTCAGCACTTTCTACACTACTTCTCCCACGTGTTTTACGATTTAGTTCCAGACACATGCTGTTGCTCACTGAAATTTACCAGGTCTTTCTACAGCATCTTCACATTTTTTTATTGAAAACAATTTCAAAGTCTAGGATAGCACATAACCAAGTGATCATGATCTGCATGGGTGTGGGTATATTTTGTCCAAACTACAATCATGGTGACAATGTTTTGTGAATTTTTATCATCGACAATAAGGGAGGGGGTTTAACTTTGACCTGAAAGTGCAATGTTACATCAGGAAAGTTGAACTTCGAACTTCTGGTCATAGGTCCTCAGCAGGGGTGAAAGGTCATTGTTAGCCATGCTGCCTGACAAAAACGTCAGCTTATGAAAACGTTTCAACCTGCGTTCGGCAGTATTTAGCGTGAAAAAAGCTGAAATGAAACTGTGAAACGTTACAATCAACAAATTTATCCTTCAACGCTGAGACCAACAGTCACCTTCCATTTCCGAAGCTTGCAGGACAGAAATACCATCCGTGTAAAAAAAATACTTGACTACTGCCACGTTAACATGGGTCGTTTCCTCTTACACATCCGGCACAGCTTACCTTGTGGGCTTCTCGGAAACTGCGGATCTCTTTGGTGATCAGATTACGTTTCTCCTCGTCAACCTCCATGTCCTCAAGGTCATCCTAGAAAGGATCGACACATCAATGATCATACTATTATGAAAGTTCATCTGTGTTGGTAGTTACATGTTTTAAGTTAAAGCTTTTGTTCCAACACAAAAAATTCTCTCACCTAGAGCTTTCCACCAGTCACTCTGGTCTTCCTCAGTAGACCCAGTGAAGCTTGTCACATGGCTTCTTTGAAGTGTTACATCAACACTGGGTCAAAGGCATCTGGTAGACGATGTCAAAGAAGCCACGTGACAAGCTTCACTGGGTCAGTCTACTGAGGAAGACCAGAGTGACTGGTCGAAAGCTCTAGGTGAGAGAATTTTTTGTGTTGGAACAAAAGTTTTAACTTTAAACACATCAATGATCAATCGATCAATAATCAAACATTCTGTGGCCTAAAGATAATGGTAAGATGTATTTGCAGGCAAAGGCAACAACCTACACCAATAATGTTCATATACCACCAATTTATAATGTTACCTTCATTGCTTGAATTAACTCCAATTTACAGCACCAATCTTTAGTTGACTGGCCCTTTTCCATATTATTAACATACAAATTTTGTACAATGAACTGGCTCAGATGTCAATGTTCAGTCCAGAAACGAATGAAAAGCAGATGAAACTGCAAAAATTCATAAAAGTCAGACAGTTATCTTCAAGGTAGAATTCATATGTTTTTTTTAATGATTGCCATGTAAATAGTTAAGGTTTTTTATGTGACGTGTAATCCCCTCCGTTTTTAAATGATTTATGCTGTATGTTAAGTGTAAATATGTAGGATTGTGTCTGTAAATGTGATGTTACATGTATTGGAACCCTGGAAGAATAGCCCATAATGGGCTAAAGGGTATCTCAATAAACTGAACTGAACTTACTATTGCCTCTTCTTTCTTGTCCTCCTTCTTCTGCTTAGCTTTAGGCTTGTCTCCAAGCAGCCCTTCCTTCTTCCCTGAGAAGAGAGAAGTCACAATGTAAAGATTAGAATGTTTGTCATCACTGTGAAGTATTTGTTGGAGATTTATATTGTTGTGATACAATCTTTAACACAATACAAGACATTCTTTATTCAGCAACCTGTGGATTTTCACACCCCGCGTTTTGGTGACGGAGCTAGGTGTCGCTGCTGCAATATTACATAGACAAGTGTGACACCAAGTTGCAGTAGAAATCAGAACAAGTCACCATTGCCCCAAAGAGAATGACAGACTGTTAACAAAGCATTGAATTAAAAAAAAACCTCGTTGTTGGATAAAAAAACTTCTTATACAGTGTCTTGCCAACCTTCTGCCAAAATTATTCATGATTTCTAATAAAAACAGTGAAAGTTAAATACCCTTCCCGCGTCAAGTGACGCATAGGGCGGCGCCCATCTCCGTTCATTAGCCCTGGGCCACACACAGCAGTCACTACAGTAGGGGTACCACTGGTAGTGGTGTGTGTTTAACTCCCATACTCTTTCCCAAATGCTGAGTGCTAAGCAGAGAAAGTAGTATGTACCATTTTTAAAGTCTTTGGTATGACCCGGCCGGGGTTTGAACTCACGACCTCCCGGTTACAAAGCGAGCACTCTACCAATTGAGCTATTGCACCGATTTCTAATACTAGTACTTTTTTCTGGCCTTCCATGAAACACTTGTTTGACTAGTTGTTCACCTTTGCTTGGTCTGTCATCAGGGATGGGTGTGTTCAGCTCTGTGTTGTGTTCTCTCTTCAGCTGCTCAAGCTGCTCCATGGCAAAGTTGTCCTGCCTTATGGTGTCCTCATCAAGTTCATCTGAGTCCTGGAAGAAAACAAAAATGCACTGCTCATCTGATAGTCTGAACAACATGGCAAGTGATAAACATGTAGGGACAAGCCCAGGTACATTCAAGACTAAAGTCCTTGTGAAAGAACTGACTTTTAACTTTCTGAGTTACCAACATAGGATAGAGGTGTTGAAGAACTTGTTTTTTTCCTAGAACTACTGCAGAGTGGAACTCGTTGCCAGCAAGTACAGTAGGGGCATTATCACTAGATAGCTTCAAACAATGTCTACAATTAAATGTGCAAAGGTTGGGTGTGACAGATCATTTGGTGCAATATAGCCAGCTGCCGCACGCCGCATGTCTGTGAGGCTGGTGCGTTATGCTGAAGGGCTTATAGGCGGTTATAGATACAGAAGCTGGTGTGTTATGACGAAGGGCGGTTACACTGGTTATACAGATACAGATACCGGCTATTCAGATATAGATAGCGACAGGTATAGACAGGTATAGCAAGACAATTAACAGTACAATGTAGCTAGAACCAACCTTGTCCCCTGAGGTTCCCTTCGCAGCCTTCTTCTTCCCCATGTACTCGTCCAGCACGGCCCGAGTCTTGGCGTCCACCTTCACAAGGAGCTTCTTGTCTCCCAGCTGCCAGTCGTGGAGCAGCCGCAGCGCCCGCAGGGTCGACTCCGGCTCCGCGTACTCACAGAACCCGAACGCTGCGGGAAACACACGTCCTTGTAATGTGCTCTACTTCAACATCTGATAAGCTCATGGTCTAATGTTAGTTAAACCTTCTCCCTGCTGCCTAGCACCGTAACCAAGTTAAAATTTGGTTCGAAATGACCACCAGTGGTAATCACAGAACCCGAACGCTGCGGGAAACACGGGAAACACACGTCCTTGTAATGTGCTCTACTTTGACATCGAACAAACTGAGGCCACACCAATTCAATTTCTTGGTTAACGGATTTTTCTACAAAAATAATCGGGCGGACGAAAAAAATAAAATAAAAACAGGTCTAGGCATCCTATTATGGCCCAAAAAGGGAAGGATAGGAGCCATGAAGTCAACACACCAGGCTGGTTCAAAATATAGACAATGAATTTTGAACTTTTAATGGTACCATTGCATTGAAAGATGGAATAACTGTAACAAGGATGAAAAGGACTGTTTTTAACAAATGGGCAAATTATGAGCATTTTGCAGTTGATTCTGAATTTTTCTTTTTATTTGCAAATCAGAAAAAAATGAAGCGGGCAAATCCGTTAACCAAGAAATTAAATTGGTGTGGCCTGAATGGTGATTGGTGAATGTTAGTTTAAACAACACTAGTATTTTTTTAGACTGCACTGGGATATGATCCAGTATTGCGATTCAGCCCCACCAATTGTAAGCCCCTCACAATTTAGCCCTTGGCTGCAAGAAGAGAGTAGCCAGCCCACTCAATAACAATATCTATCACACTAACAGCCCATTAATAAACAGAAGCTGGTGCATTAACATAACATAAATTAAATATTTCATATCAAAATCTGTCTTAATGTTATTCATGCATAAATATGTTCTCTGAAAGAGTCATATCAAGCTAATGTAATGTGCTTCATTACAATATACAACTGTTATGGTTTACTTTCTTGTACTTCTTAGCAATTAATAATTACTTCATGAGAATTGTGCATCCAGACTTGCCAATGCTACAGCTCCTACATTACTTGTACTCAAACTTGTAATAACAAAAGCACAATTATCCCATGCAGAAAAAACATCACACTACACTATCACATCAGACATGCAAACTTCAAAAGACAAACGATGAAGAGAAATCAGAATAAAAAAATGGTTGTTCTCACATTTGGTAGTACCTTGCAGCTTCCCGGTGGCCCCCTGGACTCTCTTCCAGCTCAGGACAGTTCCACATTTCTGGGGAAGAAAAGGTTGTCAGACAGTTAGCATGACTAGCAAAGTTACATGTAGGTTTTCTGCAATACCACAGGGAGTTCTAGTACTAGTAGTAGTGGACTAACTGCAAAAAAAGTACATTTCAGCTGGACAGCTTTCATTGGCAGAATGTACTGCGCCTGAGTGAAGCAAGTAGTATATTGTGTATAGCACTTCAGCAGAACGTCTCATTTAATTTTAACTTTAAGGTTGTATTTATGGATGTCGTTCTATCTACTGGTTTCAAATGTTGTGACGGAAAAGATATCATCTACAACAGGCAACAGTTGGATGCAACATTGACCAAACAGATAGAAAAACATGAAAAACCAGGGTTTCACGCAGGTGCTCTACCAACGTGCTGAATACAGCGTTCATGATTCCATGCCCACAGACCCACCATAAGCATCTGCCTGATGAGCACGTCGGTGGCCCTGTCTGTGATGTTCCCCACAAACACGGTGGTGGAGGGTAGAGCCTCCCCCTCCTCCTCCTCACCATCAGACTCCTGTGGACAACAACATCATCAATCACTTAATTCTTGCAATGGTGCCATACACAGCGCTATCTTTTACACCCTTTCAAACATATTTATCTATTACACTCTTTCCACTGACGCTCGCACTGCCACCACTATTGCCTCCTTCAAAAGGAAGCTATGGGACTCTCTAGGTGACCCCTTTAAGCCTTAGTTGTGTGACCCTGACCTCTCCATGTTGATGTATTGTATTGTTGTAATGTATGTGTAAATGTTTGTCTTGTCAGCAGGGCAAGCCCTTAATAATACTAGTAGCCGCCTGGCTAGTTGGGCTGCCCTGGCTGTACAATTTGTTATTTTTATAGCCGAATAAATAAAATAAAAATTTATCTATTTGTTTGGCAGAACGTACACAGTCAGCTAAGGCTGCTCAACTAGCATGTGGCTACTGTAAAGGGCGAAGCCTGGGGAAACACAGAGGTGGGACATACAAATAGTTATTTGCCAAGTATAAAGCATATACACTAAATACAGTGGAAACACCATTTCCCTTTGTGCAACTTTTATACTGTCTCATATTGGTGGTATCTAGCTGATACTTACAAGAAGAAACAGGGCAATCAATGTTTATAGTAACCCTAAAAGTCATTTTTAAAAAATTATGACACAAGAACTTGTAGCCAAAACTACCCAATTCACTTCCTGCAGTACAGGTGCGTCGTGATGTCTGTAGTGCAGACGATAATCTTGTTTCGGGTTAACAGTAAATCAGTATGAACTGTCTACATTGAAAAGTACTTTGACAAATTTAATTATGTTCACCGAAGGAAAACATATTGTTTTTGCTCCATTTCTTCTTCCTCTTCTTCTTCTGTTCCAAACACTAACCTCTGACCTGGCCAATGGCCTCTTTTGTTTACGTCTGGCACCATAGTAACTAGTGTCGGGTTACACAATGTGGCAATTTCATAGTAGGCGTTTAGACTCCTGTCACCATATACATGAAGTGAATGTGTTTAATGTGTTTGAGTAAGAACTTACAGAGCTGACCATATCCGAAGGTAAACATTATGCATTTGCTTTGCAAATGTTACTTTTCTAGTTTTAAGTACCTTTGCTTTTTCATCCTTCTTGTCTGCCTCTTTCTTGTCTATCTGCTGTGGCTGTTGGACAGGTTTGGGCATGACAGGCATGGCTGGCCTTGGGAGAAGGGTGGGCTGCAAAAACATGCAGATAATTAGGGAGGAAACAAAGAAATACAACCACTCTGCCTAAAGTTATAACTCACTTTATATATCAGAAGATATAGAAGATACAGAGATGATTCTGTGGCACATACAGAAGGGAGAAGGGTGGGCTGCAAAAACATGCAGATAATTACAGAGGAAACAAAGAAATGCAACCACTCTGCCTAAAGTTATAACTCACTTTATTATATATATCAGAAGATATAGAAGATACGGAGATGATTCTGTGGCACATACGGTTTAGATATTTGCAAGTATATTTCATGAGTGTTCCAAATCTTACATTTACTGTAAATTTTCATGGAGGTTCCATTGTTTTATTTCAATTTGTTCTTTGATACAAGCGACATGGTCTTCCGCAGTTAACAACATCTCAGTACAAGAGTCTTGATTTTAGCAGTTTCAAACATCGGTAAATGAATGTACATGTACTTAATTGGTTAAGTTTCCAAAAAGCAATAATGAAACACATGGAAGAATAGACAACTTACTGCTCCAGGCACCATGCCCATTGGCGCAACCATTGGAGGACCTGTAAGAGAATAATAAAGATAGTTGTTAGAATTTTGACTTTTCACTGTACTAGCCCATTGATGTGTAACCATGTTTCTCTGATTTGGCCCTAGACGATACAAGTTAAAGGCTCAGCAGTACTTTCACTAGTTTCAGATAACTCAAGATAAGTACTGCAAGTGAAAAGGCAAGAATCTTGGACCACAATGAAAATGTTACTCACTAACTTTGAGGACTGCCCATAAATATAAATACTGAAATACTTTTTTGTAGAAGGGATGCATTTTAACAAATGTTATTTAGGAGGAATACCATAGATGATAAATGGTCTTGTTTTAAACTAAATCCAGAGAAGTATCTAACAATACCGTGACTACATACATAACTTCATCTGACTTTCTAGAAGTGTCCAAGAATAGCTTAATCTGGCTTTTAAAAGCCTGGAATATCAGAAAGCTGTTCCAGATAGAACTGTTACAAGACACTCACAGTCATGAAACCAGTTCTGAATAGTGAAAGAAGCTACCAATTTTTTATCCGTATGAGAAGGTCTACAGTGAATATGTCTTGAAAAGTTTAATTTGATGATTTCTTGGTGAGACTACCATCAGACAGCTGTTTTTGGAGTAAAGTAGGGAACTTTATTAAGGCCATGTTGATTTGATTATATGGATGACCCCAAAACTGATGCGCGCGTGCGAATAAAAAAAAGTTTTGCAAAAAAAAAGTTCTTTTCATTATGAAATCTACGTGGTCATGAGGGTCGAGCAAATGGCACAGAATATGGTTTGGCGAATAATCTAGTCTTCAAGTTCATTTCTTTACAATTTCGTCTTTTTTCGTTTGATTTTGGCATTTTGCGACATTGGTATCATTTTTGAATATTCTTTTTGCAACTTACGGTATATATTTGCTCATTTTGCAACTGTTTTGTACGATTTACAGTATGGTTGAAAACTTTTTTTTTTGGAAACGGCCGAAAATTCATGCGCGCGCGGATGTCATCCGTATAATCAAATCAACATGGCCTAATGAAGTACAGAGTATACAGTCTAACATACTGATGGTAGATAAAGCTGACACAGACAGCAAGAGGTATATTGATATATCTTCCTCAGAGAGTTCATTATCCTTGACAACCAACAGAATCCTATTTTGAATTTGAGCAATACAATTTCTAAACCAAGAAGCCTTAAGCTGCCATCACGAGACAAGGATGGTCATTTTCTTGTTTTATGAAATCTTTTTTTATTGCATATGGTTCTGTTATGCACTTCTCATGTAGTGTACTTAGAAGTGAGAAAACAAATATGAAGCAGGCATTTGAAAGTAGGAAAAGCTTTTCCTGTCAAAGCTGCTTGCTATATTATTTTGGTTCCTGTTGGATAATAAAAATTTCAAACACGAATTTTTTTTCAAATTGGACCCTACTCCATGACCAGTCCACTTGGACACAGACAAGTGCATAACGTGGGGATACAGCCTCTTGCTTTCCGTGTCAGTAACGAGATTAATATCGGACCTGGACGTATGGCCTGTAAAGCCATCGGTCTGATGGCGCCGCTAGCGGTTACGATGTGGGGAGAACCTGCAAGGGGCAACATGGCGTGAGATGAGACACCAGGGCTGATGACCCCCCTCAGCCTCTGATCTACGCAGGTGACAAACGGTGGGGTTAGATTAGACACACGGCAACCAACCACGCAATTAGCATTAACAACATTCACAGGTCCAACAATGCTGTTGTGTACACACGGGAGCAACTGAGCTCCATGCTGCTGCACCTAACATTTGTCTCTCCTTTTGCTTCTTCTCTTGACTTGGGATACTTTAGTCACTGACGAAAAGTAGTGGATGCTACTTGAAATGTCTTCAAAATCTATTCAGTTGTTTCAGTAACAATTTCCTTGAGTATCTCATTATCAGGATGTCTAACCTTCATCAATAAATATTCATTTGTTTGAATCCTTGTTTATTCATGGGAGGCTCATATCTACATGCAGCCACTTTTTATTGAGGTCCTGAGGGAAGAGGTAAGGGTCACACAAAATACAAATCTGTCTCCAGCAAATTTTCACTTTTGCTTCTTGGGGTAAAACTGTCATAACTACTAATAGGCAAAACGGGCTGTTTTAAAGATCTGTGACCAGTCCCCCGCAGCACAATCTGTACTGTTTATTTGTCTTTTCATTTTATTGTTATATCATGGTTCTTAATACAGCATGAAGCTCAATTCTCCTTGAGTCAAGTTGTAAGTAAGTATCAAACAATGTGCTGTGGTGTGTCGACACTTACTACATGTAGTACTTCAGAGAGATGGTCCTGCCGTCTCACCTAGAAACGAGAGGAGGAAGCTCAAACAAGTTAGTCACGACAACGCCCGCCCGGCCCGCATCGCATTCTGTAGTACCTGCTGGGTGTTAGTTAGACAAGACGGGTGCACTCACCTGGAGGCAGCGGATTAAATCCAAAATGAGCTGGCGGAGGCATACCAGGGGGCATGGGGGGCATGCCCATGCCAGGAGGGCGGTTCATGGGGGGACCGAACGACATGATCTTCCCTGTCTGTCCGTTCCACTGTCAGTACCCTGGTGCTGGCGTCTTCTGGTGTCAGGAAGAGCTAGGTACACTTGGTGTATCACTCACTCCCCAGCGAACTGAAAAAGAAGTGTCACGTTTCATGAGAGAAAAATCTGGCCAGCATAAGTAGCAACAAATTGTGTTCATCTTGCTAGCATGGCTTGATACAGAGATTTGTGTTTTGATCTTTACTTTTTAAATAGTTAAAACTGTTGATAGTTATGCTCTCAGGTTATGAGATAGTTACGTTTCACTAACTAGTGCAAAACATACATTGACATTTGCACCACAACATTTTACATGGTCAAGATTCAATATGATAGGTTCAGTACCAGGTTAGACTTAGAGAGTCGAAGTCCACCTTATGAGTTGTATGGTTTATTCACACACATGTTCATGTACGTTTGCAGCTCATTCAAGTTTTTCATCAAAAATTTATAGGTGTGTCTGAATGATTCAACAAAAACAACTTTACCTGAACAGCAAAATCTGAAACAAATGCAAAAGGGACATGCACACTGTCTGAGGAAAGCCTTCTGGCCATACTGTCAGGTTACGGTATGCCTCTTTTGTTTCAGCTTTCGCATTGTCAGGAAGAAAATATTATGTTTGAATACATATTGGAGTACTTTTCTCAGGAAGGGAATAACGCAGCTCTAAGCTTAAAAGTAAGACCAACACAAAGACATGCAAGCGGTACGCTCTTCATAAATTATTATGTTCCGCCTGTCGGCCAGTTTAGATTAGAAAGCACAAAATTTTCAAAAAGAACTGCCCAGTAACAGCACAGACTCCTACCCGTCACCTGGACCAAAGTGTAGGCTTTGTTTGTAGACAAATATCCGTCAATGGCGAGAGCATAGCTGTAGGCGAACAACACAACGCCACGCCATGCGACATACAAGCCGGGCCGACTTTCACCAAATTAGCTTCACTTTCATGGGCCGTAACTCCTACAATACCCACCCGACAACATCGCTAAAACGTGTCATAACATCCACTAACCTCTGGAACCGCAGACGCAGCGGAATTTCGGGAAATATGTGACCGAATTCTTGTTGAGTTGTGACGACGCAGACCACAACCCTCCATCCACGGAAATATTCTCACCAAAATGGCGGCGCGATTCCACTTCTGCCTCGTTTTCGTGCAGGTTGATCACTCCATTTTTCAGACAATTGAATTTTAAAAAGTTTATTTATACATGATAGATATGGAAAGTCTCAAATAAAACATTTCAAAGTTAAATTTATATATTCTATTTGTTTTTGATAAATTCTTATAACAGGGTCAGAGTTCAACGCTTCCAGATGTACATCTTGTTCCCAGAGCAGCTTGCATTTCCCTCTGCGTGACGCCACGGAATTCCTGGGAACGAGATCAAGAGAAGACACTACATCTGTCCTCCCCTGCTACCTTAGCATCACTGTGGAACTAGCCAAGGAGACAGGTTGCTTTTGTATTTCTAACTACAAATCCTTGGCTTCACTGTTGTGAGGGAGAGGAGAGCAGTGTATGAGGGGGTATAAGGGGCAGATAGTGATCTGTCAGTGAATTCTGCAACTATTCGCCTACACTCTCTAGAACAGGAAGTAAGCATAGATCTACGATCTAGAGCTTGTGTTTCCAACATGGCTTTCATTGAGGCTGAACTGGCCGAGGTCAGGGACAAGCTAACCACTCAGGTCGAGGGAACTAGGATAATCCAGTGCCATCCTGCTCTGGTCGCCGTAGAGATCACCAAGACCAAGTACAAGCAGTTGATAGCCCGGTTCCAGTTCCCGGAGGGCTATCCCGACGCTCCCATTCTGATAGAACTGCAGAGCAAGACACTGTCTCTGAAGTTGTGTGACGGCCTGTGTAAGGTCTGCGAGGCCGAGGCTAAGAAAATCCTGGGGAAGAAACAGGTCGCGCACACGGTTTCCTTCCTGCGCACCTTTTTGGACGAGAACCCTTTTTCGGTTTGCAGCGACGAGCTCAGCTTCATCAAGAAGGACCTGGCGACCCCCGGGGACGAAGTTAAGACCAAGCAGAAGTCGGGAGTGATCGTACTCAAGATAAACCAGGGCGCTTACTTCATGCACGTGCAGCTGACCGTCCCAAACGAATACCCGACGAACCAAGTCGAGATAGAGAACAAGGCCTGTAACTTCCCCGCGCTGTTCATCATGACGTTTATGGGACAGGCGACCGAGATGGCTCGACAATGTACGGAGCCTCCACTGAGGAAAAAACCCAAAGACCCGCCCTTCGAGCCAGCTCCCTCACTAAAGATGGTTGCGGAACACTTTTTCAAGTCCGTGAGGAGGTATCCCCAGGAGAGCTGCCCTCTGTGTAAAGAGCGGGTGCTACCCGAGGATCCGAAAAACGTGATAACCGTCGACACGAACATGAAATACGTGGAACGCGTATACTGCGGCCACGCCTACCACCACGGCTGCCTGAACAAGTATTTAAAGACGCCGCCGTTCGAAGGCGGGAAGAAGTGCCCGGACTGCGGGAACCGAATCTACCACGACAAGTGGAAGGTGACTCCGGAGCTGGCTGAGGCAAGATGGGCGCACAAGGAGGCCAAGAGAAGGGAGCTGGACGAAGTCATGGACTTTCTAGAATGACTCTCATACTTTGTTAGAGCTTAGCCTCCTGTGCAGACTTCTAGCGGGGCAGTGTTTGTTTCTACAAGTGGCTAGTTAACCTCTACCAGGCTTTGGGAAGGGGCTGGAAGAGTATAAGTTGGCCCTGAGTTGGCCAAAAAGACAGATGATATGCCAGTGCCAGTTGGTCTGCACTAATTGTAAGAGAACAGTTTGCTACTCCCCTGGCATGTCATCTGTCTATTTGGCCAACTTGTACTCTTTCCAGCCGCTTTTGGAAAGACATTAATGTTTTGTTAGCCTCTACCAGGCTTCAGGAAGGGGCTGGAAAGACCAAGTTGGCCAAAGAGACGGATGATATGCCAGGGAAGTGGGTCTGCACTAGAACAGTTTGCCGCTCCCGAAGTGGACCAAATCCTCTGGCATGTCATCTGTCTATTTGGCCAACTTATACTCTTTCCACACTCCTTTCCAGCCACTTCTGGAAATTTGTTCATGTTTTATTAGCCTTTACCAGGCTTCGGGAAGCCTGGTAAAGTTCGGCTGGAAAGAGTAGAACTTGGCCAAATATTAAATAGACAGATAGATATTGCCAGGGGAGTTGGTCAACACTAAGAGAACAGTTTGAATTTGCTGCTCCCAAGCGGACCAAAAAGGTGGCATGCCATCCATCTATAATTTGGCCAACTTTTACTATTTCCATCCGCATCCCAAAGCCTGGTATAGGCTAATGCTTTGTTAGAACTTAGCTGCCTGAGTGTGCAGATATATAGTATCACTACACAGTATACTGTACACAATACATAGTGTTTCTAGAACATGTAACGAGTGCTTTGGATGCTGTCTCTTACTTAGTTGATCGGAATATCGTTTTACAGCAATTTATCGCATGGTGACTAAACAGCATGCTGTTGCCACTGTCAGGTGTTTTAGGTATGAATAGTATACATGTACCTATGTATAGGCATGGTGGTCTTACTAATGAACAAATGATTATGTTATGAACGTCAAGTAATTGAATATAGATGAATGTTTTGAGTCTGCCAAGACAGGCAAGAGCAATTGCCCATGTATCTGTTGTACTTTACCTTAGTTCCTTCCACAAGCTGGTTGCAAAGGTGATGAATTGGTAGCAAATTTTCTACCCCAAAAGGTTGGGGTTTTGTGTCGCTACTGCTATTTCCTCTTGACGACTATCTGTGTCTTTCTCTGTTCAATAACAACATTGTTTTGTTGTAACTTAAGTCAGTTGGACCCTGACATTTGTTCACCATCTATTCAAAGCATGGCAGAAATATTGACAGTTTGTGTAGAATGCTGGGAATACGCAATATGGAAATCTCATTAAAAACCATGAGTTGCATTTGGAAGAGGTCAATATTTGTACCAGTAGCTCTTGGCTACTGTGGATATGGATGGGAAGAACAACCAAAGTCACTGCAATAAAGATAGACTTTGTTCTTTGCTGATCTTAATGCTTACCTGTCAATTTCTATAGAGCTATGTGTCACTATACAAGCGGTCACCATGGCCAGGTGGTCACCATGGCATGTTTGACTGTATGTTTGATTGGCCGTATATATATATAAAGTGGAATAATTGTTTTACTGTTTGATGTTGAATGTTAAGAGACCAGGTCATTTGTTGTGTTCAATATCCTCATGTACAAAACCAGAAAACACTGCTCTTCAATGTCTCTCCAAGTCTGACAAAAAAAATGCGACAAAAACACCATGAAGTTTCATATATAATCATGACAACTCTTTAATTCAAATGGCAGGCAGCAAACAGTGGAATGCAGCAAGTCTACATACTCTTGTGCACCGCATCTTTCTGCTACCCCCTATGGCTCTATTCAAAAGCCAAATCATCATGTGCTAACATTATGTATTAATTCACATTTGTGTCTTCCATCTATGCACAATAATGCACTGTAATATTCACTGTTACAGTAATAATTTCTGAGACCTTGGCGATGACTCATAGCTTTCGTACTGCATGACAGAAACTGTGATATGACCAAGTTTGTAATAGTATAGCATACGTCAGTACTCAGTAGCAATACATGAGAATGTGTCAGCATGTACAAGAAACTTTCCACAGTAACCTTTCTATACCTTAATACTCTGTTATTTACATGATATGTGCGCTGACATGGCAGAGAGGAGTAATGGAATGACTGCAGCAATGCTAGCCCTTTATAAAGCTGGTGCCAGCCACTGCAAAAGGCCTCTGGTCCTATGGGATGGTTTATCAATGCTTTAATATGTGAACAGGGTCAAAACTTGTGACTGACTTCTCTTCTCTAGTTTTGTAATGCGTTTCAAGATTTTGTCATTGCCTCCGCATCAATCTGCAAGTGTTAAATTATTTGTTTTCCAACAGCAATATCGTCCCATGGTGCAAAACCTACTCTCCAAGCAGAGGTTTAGGCTTCGGCTTACTATTGAGGTGTTAATAGGTTTTATCTTTTTGTACTGGTATCATTTTTTGCCCAGCCTTTGGGTCACCAATGGACCTATACCATTATTACGTCACAGTTTGTTTACCTGCTCTAAAGAACATTCTAGAACGGTCAGTTAAAGAATAAAGATCATTTCAAAGTTTTCAAAGTAAGGTATGTCTGATTTTTGCTGCGTCTAGTTGTGTTGACACAGCATTACATGCCGCATGGGTGATTTAGTTGTGACATTAGACAAAAGTAGTGCTGTATTAAAAGCCTTATATTAGGCTAACACTACACAAACACACACCGCGCTACACACCCCTGTACAATATAAACGTCAATTGACCGGCATTCATTGCAGTAAACAAACTGTGACGTAATAATGGTATAGGTCCATTTGATACCGTGTTGCCCCCAGATTTTGGGAATCTCCATCCCAACTTCATTCTAATTTGCCGAAATGCAAGGAATTTAAATGAGACTCTGGCCATTGGAGCAAATGCTCTTTGTTCAATTAAAAACCTTTTCATTTTGATTCGAAAAAAAAAAAAAAAAACTTTAACAAATACCCGTAGTGGTATCCATGATTCAGAAGTTAGTGCATCTTGGTCCAGTCCGCATGGCTAAATACAGGGATGGTTCGTAGCTACCTGCATGACGTTCAGAGAAATAAAATGACACTAACTGCTACTCTGGGTGCTCTGTATTCACATGCAAACTTAGTGCTTCAGATAAAGTTACTAGTTTTCTACAGGTTTAAATTCTTAGTTGTTTATCCCTGCACTCCTTTTCCACTTTAACATTGCAGTTACAGACCTAAGTCCTATTTCATTTAACATAGTATTACACAATCATTCACTACTAAGAAACTACTACAACGATAAGTTGTGCCTGCAAATTTCTTTCGATGTCTTTGCAGCTAAGTACATCATGGCTTGCCTAAATCTTGGACAAAAACAGGAACACACCATTCCTAATTTTCTTGTCAGTACGTCTCGCATTGATGACACTAACATTGTAATTCTAACAGAAGTGGTTCGAAGTCTCATGTACAAGTATATACAAATAAGTCTGCAGGACTAGTACGAATACATGTACTATACAAACAGTATACAAGTACACACACTTCTATTCTTGGCCTTGGAGTACATCACTGCTATATGACACTTGGCACAACTAATCAATCAATCAATCGATTCAGAATCCTAACATTTATTTCCATACTGACCATAATAAATTATTGCACACTATTACATTGGGTTCTTACTGTGAGACAAAATTTCAACCTATCATTTCAACAAGGGTGTGGGAGGCTTCCTTTGAAACCAAAGTAAAATTGTCTTTCAATCCACACTTTTGTGTGAATTTTTTTTTCAGACTTCCACAAGCTTTTTTGGATATGAAATTCGTGCCCTAAGGTCAAATCGTGATCAATATCATAATAGAATAATCTTCAGTAAAACCTGCCACACCCTTGGTTACAGATTGTTTTGATTGCCCACTACAGAATTTGAGGTATAAGATTCCTGCTTAGTTATTTTATTGCACCTACTCACAGCAGCAGTTATTGGTCAGTATAATCAGAAGTTATTGACTTCGTACTATTCATCACTACTAGCAATACCATACAGGAACTATTGGTAATGATGCTATTGGCACATTTGCTTCTAGTAGCAATGGTATACAGCATAAAATTCTAAAGAGAGTAAAATTCTCGAGCGCAAGTCAGAGTACACAGAAGGAATGGGGAAAGTAGTACTGGTGGCATTAGATGTGCTATATCACAGCATTAACAGTAATAAAGCATCACAGTCATGAGGCTACCACATGGGTGACTCACCTCACATTGGGTATTAAAGGTGTCTAGGTAAAAGATACATGCACTCATACACACAAACACACATGTACAAAGTGAAACACACATACCGGGTACCTACAAACACACACACACATACCTACACACAACTACAATGGAATTGCACTTTGTTGTCCTGATTTGTAATAGTCTCTAAAACATCAATTCTCCAACGGTTTTAAGTACATCCTGACTCTGAGGCAGGGTGTTGCATCGTTTCCAATGGGAGACCTCGGTCTACAGCTTAAACGTACATGTATGAATACTGCGGATATCCTGCCTCTCTGTCTTGTCTACAATGTTCCTCAGAACACCCTGCATTCAAGTAAGGAATAGGAACGTCAACAAATAAGGTGGGAAATGGGAAGTTTTTGTTTGCGTAATATACTGTCAAACAGGAAAAACTACAATCCCTAAGCTTTCCCAAAGATATGCAACACTATAAGGCTATTGAGAAGGAATCAGAATTACTTAATATGTCATTGCCGCAAAGTCCATAGCAATGTTATTTCATTTCCATTATCTTACCCAGACATATTCATGAAAACACCATCCACACGTTTTCTGACAAAAGGCAATTCTGGTATCCCACATGTTCAGTGTCCTTTTACACTTGTTGCAGTTAAGTTGAATCAGAAAGTACATTCAAGTGCCTGGTTCTCTAGAGCCAGACTACCAGTCTATAGCTGCTATAACTGGTTAGTTATAAGTAAAGGCCTTACAATTCATAGTACAACAGGTATTACTTTGTTTAAAAAGCAGTGCACTTATGCAAAATGCAAACTGAATAATACAATATCAACTGAAGGATAAAAACAAATTTTAAACAAGGAATGCATTCCAAAAGGTGAAAAAAAGGTATTTGAGAGAAGTTGGTACAGAAATAAAATAAGACTTGTCTAGAATGAAGTTAAATAAAACGACACAGACAATAAGAAAATATAACTTAAAAAGGTTTGTACAGGCATGCAAAGATTAAAATAAAAGACAACAACAGTTCAACTGAGATAAAAGATAAAGTAGGAGGATATCTTCTGGTCCACAAAACCTTTACACATGATCTTCATTCATTTCTGTATCTGCTATAAAAGTATCTGAAAACAAAAAATCTTGTCCCAGAAGTTGGCTTGTCGATCACTATGTCCGATTCAGATGAAAAACAGGATTGTGGAAGGAAACTGGCACATTTCCAGTCTCCTGTTCCCCAAACTGTATGACCCGATTTACATGTGAGTAAAAAACTGACGGTAGGAAAACGTTGTAAGCTGGTCTGTTACGCCGAAGGGCAGTTATACCGGCTATACAGATACAGATGTGAGCGTACAAAAACTGTGTACATAAAAATTTTCCTTACATGTACATTGGCCTGCTATGACGTATATCATCAAGAAGCTATGTTCCGATCGATGGTTATCTCGAGGGCCGGCTTATGTACGTTCTCGACAATGTACGTCAAAACAGGCCAATTTACAGACAGGAAAAATTCATTGAATGTAGTTTTTGTTGTACACTTGCTTTTGAGCATGCAGTATTCGCACTGTCAGATTTTACCCACGTGTTCATTACTCTTTTCTGCTGGAGGTCTCCGTCTTATAATAGACTGTACAAGATTCTACGGGTGCTGGATATAGGAAGAAGGTTAGACTGCAGCTGTCGGCTTCTGGGCCAGTTTGTCCTCCACTTTCTCCTTCTCCTGGGATTCCCTCCACTGTGAAAAAAGAACACAATTTTAGAAAAAAAAACTACAAATGTAAACATTTGCAAAGCAAATGCATGATGTTTACCTTCACGAGTACCTACATGTAGCCTAACAAACTACTGATCTGTTTGTTCTTATTAAAAAATATTCATATGTTTGGTGACACCAGCCCCTCCAACTCGGTCCTGCCACTTGCTACATACATGTAATGTAACCCTACACCACAGGGTATCTGCTACAGCACATGTTACCATGGTGATATATATAGGTCAAAGTTTATGTTCTCAAAAGACACATGATCTTGCATTTCACTCCCGTTCACTACGTCTTGTAACACATTCACTCACTATAATGGCTACTGTAATTCCTAATTTTTTCACGGTACCGTAAACACATCGTTACTGCTACCAGGGGGTAACAAATCAATCGCCGACCCTCTTTTTCCTTCACCCGCCACTACTGTGAACGTATAGTTTTGTGAACACCTCCATTTTTCTATAGAAATATGTGCTACCGTGAACATAGAGTGAATTACAGTGAGTAATTGACTTGCTCCCTCCCCACCTTGTCCATCTCCTTATCCAGCTCCTCCAGCTGCTCTCCCTGCTGCTTCTCCAGGTTCTCCTTCTCCCGGGCCTGCTTCATGGCCAGCTGTGGGTACAAACGATAGATAGTGTATGACATGATATGATAACTCAATAATTGTATTTCTGTATCTGTATCAGTATAGCTGGTATGACCGCCCTTCGGCGTAACACACGCGGCGCGGCGGCAGCTGGCTATATCACACCGAACAACTTGTTACACATTTGATTGCAGGAGTTGTTTAAAGCTTTCTAGTGATGATGCCCCAACTGCAAAGGTAAACATAATTATAGATGCTATCTTCTTACCCTCTTTCGCTCCTCCAGGAACTTCTTCATGTTGTTGCTGTTCAGCTCACGGATCCTCCTGCAGACATCAAGTAAAATGCAGGTTAACCTTCAGCCTGCCAAGGTAACCATCTGACACCAAATTTGCATCGGTTACCAGGTTAGGCAGCAGGGGAAGGTTAAACCTAAAGTCTGTGAGACAAAATGGACCATCGTCTGTGTCTTTATGTAAGGCAGGCAGAGCATCAGCACTTCTGACAAGTGATTTCCGATCAGGACAATCAGTTCAACAACAATCGCAACAAGATCAGCACCATGGACAGCATCCAGGTATATAATATCTAGGTACATATCCATCCCCCTGCAAGAATAAAACATAAAAACTATTTTTAGTCAATTAAATTGTCTAATGGGCCACCTTGAAGTACAAACTGTGTCTCCCTGTTGCTCACCAACAATGCTTTCTTTTCAAAACTGTTTCTTTGTGTCAAAGCTGATGTCATATTTGACTTATCATTTATTGACTTAAGAACAACTAAAGATACTCAAACATATCCCCACCTCTCTCTCTCAGCCTTGTTCTTGATCTTCTTGTCCTGTGCGATTGCCTTACTCTCATCCATGGACTGTTTGGCCTGCTGTCCCTTCAGATCTTTGCCTTGCCTACATGGAGAGAAGACAGTCGATCACTCAAGTCCAACTACAACCTGACTACTACAAGTCTTGAAATGTTTGCAGCTTTTCATTTCTACATTTTTTGCAGTAACCAAAACACAGCAAAAACCTTCTACTGTCAAGTTCTCACAAATATAAATACCATAGATGGTCCATTTCTATATTACATGTACCAGGCAAAAATGTTTAAGCTGTGTTATGCCAAAGGGCGGTTATACAGGCTATGCAGATACAGCTACAAAATATTATATAATTCAATGGCAATTATTGAGAAAGCAAGGACATTGCTCACACTAGTATCAAAAAGGAAGTCAATTCCAAGACTTACTTGTCGTGGATGCTTGGTCTGAACCTCACACTATCATCATTCCTTAGTTCTACCAACTACAACTGTCTAACTTGCACGTGCACTCAAACTTTGTGGGCTCTACTTACAGAGTGCCACTCAGAACATTGCTCGGTAAGAAAAGGAGATATGAATAAGGTATGAACTTTCCCCAGATTTACTTCAAAAACATTCATATATTTGGTGACCAGCCCCTGCAACTCTGTCCTACCACTTGCTACATAATGTAACCCAACACCATAGGGTGTCTGTTACAGCACCAGACTTACTTCTCGTGGATGGTCGTGATCTGCTTGGTCTGCTGCCACCTTCATCAGCTGCTTGAGAACCTCACACTATCATCATTCCTTAGTTCTACCAACTACAACTGTCTGAGTTGCACGTGCACTCAAACTTTGTGGGCTCTACTTACAGAGTGCCACTCAGAACATTGCTCGGTAAGAAAAGGAGATGTGAATAAGGTATGAACTTTCCCCAGATTTACTTCAAAAACATTCATATATTTGGTGACCAGCCAACCCTGCAACTCTGTCCTACCACTTGCTACATAATGTAACCCAACACCATAGGGTGTCTGTTACAGCACCTGACTTACTTCTCGTGGGTGGTGGTGATCTGCTTGGTCTGCTTGTCGTGAGCGACCTTCATCAGCTGCTTGAGAACCTCACACTATCATCATTCCTTAATTCTACCAACTACAACTGTCTGAGTTGCACGTGCACTCAAACTTTGTGGGCTCTACTTACAGAGTGCCACTCAGAACATTGTTCGGTAAGTAAAGGAGATATGAATAAGGTATGAACTTTCCCAAGATTTACTTCAAAAACATTCATATATTTGGTGACCAGCCCCTGCAACTCTGTCCTACCACTTGCTACATAATGTAACCCAACACCATAGGGTGTCTGTTACAGCACCAGACTTACTTCTCGTGAATGGTGGTGATCTGCTTGGTCTGCTGCCACCTTCATCAGCTGCTTCAGAACCTCACACTATCATCATTCCTTAATTCTACCAACTACAACTGTCTGAGTTGCACGTACACTCAAACTTTGTGGGCTCTACTTACAGAGTGCATTACAGAGTGCACTACAAGAGAACATTCCTCACTAAGAAAAATAGATAGTCATTTTCCGATGACTTACTTCTCGTGGATGGTGGTGATCTGTTTGGTCTGCTGCTCGTGTGCCACCTTCATCAGCTGCTTGAGAACCTCACACTGCTGCTTGAAGTGCCCCTCCTTCACCTCGTGCTCCTCCTTAGAGCACTTCGCCACCAGCTCAGAGAAATCCTTCGTCTGCGTGGCCACGATCTCCTTTACCTGTTTAATGAAATAGTCAAGGTAACAATTAATTACTAGTTTCCATGGAGAAAAAGGCAGCCACAAGGGATGTGAAACGTATTCTGGAGTGGAGACCTCCTGGAAAAAGACCCCTTGGCAGACCCAGGATGAGATGGACTGATGGTCTCAAGAAAATCCTGGCCATAAGAACAAAGGTTTCCTTTGAAGATGCCAAGAAGCTATGCAAAAACCGCGCATATTGAATGAAATATGTAAGGTACGTCACACATCTTACAGAACATACTGTGAAAGGAACACCTCGTCTGGGATGTTTTAGAGGCAATAACTTACATTTAAGTGCAAAAGCAGTAATCTTCAGAAACAATTTGAAAGTATACATGAAAGAGACATGTATATACATGAAATATTGATAGCTGATGCACAGCATTTCTTTGTTTCTTTTAACCTTGCAACCTTGATTACTGTTGACCTAATTAAGGGCCGACCAAGCTATTTCACCTTCAGGTCTATGGTCTATTGTGTGCTGCTAACTGCAAGAAAAATGGGATTCCAACATAAGAGCTACTAACTCTGGTTGAAAGCATTCTAACTACTCTAAAGAGGAACCTTCTTGAGAAACTTGAGTGGACACTTTTGCAGTAGCAGAGCACAAATAGCAAGCCCTTGTGGTAACCTCACATGCTAAACTTGCCACTCAAAAACTGAAAGCATAAAACTAAGTACGCCAGTCGTAACATTCCCTACAGATGATAATAAAATGAATGAAACAGTTGGTGACAACTGAGGACTAAGCTTACCTTTGCATCGTGATTCTCCACCAGTGACTTTAGTTTGCTTTCAAGCTCAGCAGCATTGGTCCTGTACAAAAGAAACAACATCACTGAATACCTGGATACATTTTAGAAAGAAAAGTGAGATCTGCAATTGTCTTTGGGACAAGTAGTAGTACTTACTACTAACTCATCTTCTTTATTGTTATCTTGAGAAAGATTCACATTCTTGACGAAATTCCAAAAATATGCAAATTTGGAAGGGCTTTGGCAACACTTTCCAACAATGTCTGGCACATCTAAGGCTACATTATTGCACACATAAATTCGGTACACAACCATGAGTTCTATAATGCTGATAATCATCATTCTGCAGTAAGAGTGATAAAGTTCTGTGTCAGTGATAGAAATCTGGTATCTTACCACATTTATAGTATACTAATATGTACCGGTTCGACCACTTCTTGCTAAGTTGTAAATAAAAGGAAAATGTACCCATTCTTTTTCTTTGCTTTCTCCAGATTTTTCTCCACACTCTGTTTCTCCTTCTGGTGACCGGCCACCATCTTGTCCACTACACTGCTCTGGGCTTTCTGCATCACTGCCTTCTCCTAAGGAAGGGAACCAAAATGCAATCATTACACTTCAAGCATTCTATGGACCACCCTTCCTGCAGTTTCAGTGTATAAACTAAAACTATAGAATTAGTCTTCCAAGACTAAGACTAGAAAATGAGTCCTCCGTGGACTCATAACTGACTTCATTGCATTTCTCAAGCTAAGGCCACACCAGTTTAATTTCTTGGTTAACGGATTTTTCTAGAAAAATAATGGAGAGGGCGGGCGAAAAAAAATTAAAATAAAAACAGGCCTAGGCATCCTATTATTATGGCCCAAAATGGTACGATAGGAGCCATGAAGTCAACACACCAGGCTGGTTCAAAATTTAAGCAATGAATTTTGAACTTTTAATGATACCACTGCATTGAAAGATGGAATGACTGTAACAAGTAGTAAGAAAAGGACTGTTTTCAACTGTTCAGGGAAAAATATGAGCATTTTTCAGTTGATTCTGAATTTTTATTTTTATTTGCAAATCAGCAAAAAATGAAGCGGCGAATCTGTTAACCAAGAAATTAAATTGGTGTGGCCTAAACAACATTTATCAAACCGTAGTCGTCCCTCAGTAAGACATCTGGAGCTGCATAGTTCCTGTTTAGAACTTTTACTTTGACAGGCTGAATAAAACATGTCTTACTGAGGGACAACTCACTGTGGTGTGATAGATGTTGGTTTGCTTGAGGAATGAATCAACTCTACTTTGTACAGAAACAGTCCATTTGTAGGTATTCTGAATAGTGATCCCCATTCCACACCCCTTACAATGTTTTACTTGTAACAATTCTACTGTAAGAGATCCATAGAAAAAATGAAAGACCGAGCTCTCAACATTTCAGGTGACCACATGGAAGTTAAAGAGAAACTTGAAGAAACCATATTTATACTGGTACTGTTAACGTTAGTTAAAGAATCAGGCAAACCATGCGATCATGTTCATTACCTTGTCATGTCTCTTCTTTAGACCATTCATCTCCTTAGTTTGTTTCTTGATTAGTTTTATGTATTGCTATGGGCAGGAACGAAGCAAGTTAGTATATAAAACAGATGGTATTCAACGCAAGCCAGGCACAATGTACATAAACTCCATTGCAAGAGCACAGCAATCATTGAATTTAGCTAAAAGGGAAGGAATAGATTGTAAAACTGCACCCTCAAGCTGAGACACCATTAGTCAATTTTTAACAAGCAAAAACATGCAATGTTGATGACATTCTGACAGATATCCAAGAATGATTATAACATATTAAAAAAACCCATAGTTCCAGGCATTGGTTATGGAGAAACGAAAAGAGTCAAAGTTGTTGAAAGCAGTGTCTAACCTTCTCCTGTTTAAGGCTCTCTATGGAGACTGGGGCCGGACATGCTGATTCTGTGGTGGGAAATAAAAAATAATCACTTTGAACAACTTCATCAGATTTAACCATAAACTTAATTGTATTGTACTATTGTACAATGTACAAAGTATGGCATCTATTGCTTGCCATAGAACATACTTTGAGACTTACCATCCTTATAAAGACTATCTAGTATGGATGAAAATATCAAAGTTGATGGTTGAATTTCTAGCATTTAGGCATTTTTTACATATTGTGGCATGTGTGCAATGCATGGATTGTCACATGCCAATATGTACTTAAATTTGCTATTTGAATTCATTGATAGAATTCTTAGTACAGAATGTTGACCTCCAACCTAGTGGGGTCGTGTGGCACAGTTGGTAGCGGTTTGGCTCACACCCAAGCAGTCGCGGGTTCGAATCCTGCCTTGTCACCGATCTTGTGCCCTTGGGAAAGGAACTTTACACGACTTTCCCAACTTCCCTCAGGTGGAAATGAGTACCTAACTTCGGTTAGGGACGTCCCTCGGATAGGACATTAAATGGAGGTCCCATCTTTGAGTAGAGCCACACCCCACGCACGTTAAAGAACTCACCAGACCTTTCGAAAAATAGTAGGGCATGCCCCAGTATGCGATGTTTCAAATACTACTATCTGATGTTCAGTACGGACTCCAGGAAGAATAGTGTGAAAATTCACACTAGCTAATTGAGATTCTAAACAAACAAACAAACAAACAAACACACCTTTTGTGGGCGTCTTGGCCTTGCCGTCCTTCCCATCCACCCCCAGGCTGGAGGAGGGCGTGGCTGGAGACTTGCCGTTCGCCGCCTTCTTGTCCTTCTTCCCCGAACTGGCAGGGACGTCCGCTATGTCTTTCTGTTAGGCAGGAAAAAACAACTGTCACAACTAAGTCAGCACCTTGGACAGCAACTATCTAATATATAACTAGCAGGGGCGTCCGCTATGTCTTTCTGTGAGACAGTTGGGTGTTTCAGACAAGTGATTTCCAATCAGGTTAATAATAGATCAGAGACCTGGACAGCATCCTGATATCTAATATTGAGGGGCATATCCATCAGCATTTCAGACAAGTGATTTCCGATTAGGACAACAAGCACAACTAGATCAGCACCCCGGACAGCATCTGGGTATCTAGTATCTAAGAACTGAGCATAGCAGAAGCGGCATACATTGATAACAGCAAACTCTAGTGTAGCAAAGTGATTTTAGAGAACAACAAAAATGGTTATACAGTCAAACCTGCCTATAGTGGTCACTCAAGGGACTGGCCAAATTTGACCACTATGGCCAGGTGACCACTATAGAGAAACAGCCGGTTAGGTGACCCCCCCCCCAAAAAAAAAGGGACACAAGCTTTGAATTGAGTACCAACAGTGATGTCTTTATTCTGAAACATATGAATACATACATTTGCAAAGGTAAACCCCTTTTATATGTACATGTGTTAGTTCAATAATTTGTTGTTCTTTTGCTTTAGTTGTACTTTATTTTGTACTTGCTTGAAAAAAAAGAAATACAGAAATATTGCATGGAAACATTAACTTGACATCAAAGATACATACACTCAACATATTCAGTTAATCTATTCTGGGACAATGAAACCATTCACATAATTTAAAACATACAAAATCACTGGTTGTCATTTACTGTTCTTGTGTACACTAGTACTACATGTGGCTAAAGAAAAGAAAGCAAATCAAGCAACAAACTTTCAACTCCAAACAAATTTCTATCGACTGCAAAATCATTTAATCTAAGCTCAGCTTTCGACGATTTCTTCTCACTCTCTCTGCCAGTCGAATCACTTCCACCTTTTGGAATAAGTTTGGCGTCCATCTTTCCGCTTTCGCCATCGTTTCTCCGCAATCGCCACGTTACTAGTAGTTGTTGTTGTTAGTCGAAAAGTGGAAGAGAACGACATCGCCATGTTTTTGTTCTTTGGTGAACACTTGCTTCGCGCGACCGACATACGCCACAGCGAATTCCAACCACGTAAATAAGTTATTTTGTACCAAGATGCTGTCTATTTAGTTAACAGCAAAATAATTGTTCGTCAGTTGCCAGTTACTTTCCGTTTTTGGTCGTTTTTGAACATGAAAACTTAGCGAAAACTCTCCTTTGTTTACGGCTTGGGTTTCTCCCCGCGTGGGTTGTCTGCCTCTACCATTATGCCAATGTGGTAGTCAACAGAAAATTTTCTCCTTTCAGATTTATATCTTTTCTAAAATATCCACTACAGTGTTAAATTTACGTCTAACATTAATTGTAGTAATGTATTTCAAATGTTTTCATAATGTAATTACGTCATTTGACGCAAATGAAGTTAAATAAAACTCGGTGTATCTACCTCCATAACAGTGGAGTCTTCCAATGACCCCAATTGACCTCCCTCTGCAGCTAACACATGCGCCATCTTGGAAAAATACGAAACGCATTTTCGAGCCAAATTTCTTTAATCATGCCCATGAAAAACGGAAGCTATGCACATATCTACGCATTTCAAGGAATCGAGAAACCAAATATGGATATTCTTAAGTTTTTTTGTAAAGATAATTTGCCGTAATCTTCGCCGAGCGGCCGAGTCCATTGAAAGCTCCATGCGGCACGCACGGCACTGGCGTTGGGGAAAACGCAGATATCAAAGACACCCGCGACCGCAGAAACTTCGTGTCAAAAGTCAGTTTTCCTTCATTTCATACACATATGGAGTCTAATTTTCAGTTCACATTTTAGTAATGTAGCGATCGGAAAATTATCACAAGGCTCATAACGGTCGTAGCCCGAGGTGGTGTGGTGTTACGGCCGTGGTGCTTAGCGGGTTACGGCCAGCCGCGACCGCTATCGGCGGTGTTGACATGCCGGCGGGACCGGAATGGGGTGACCGCTGACCGCGTTGAACAGTGACCGCTATAGACACGATTCTTAATGCTTACGTCAATGGGAAAAATTCAAGGGACCGGCAAAAACTGACCGCTATGGCCGAGTGACCACTATACAAAGGTGACCGCTAGTACAGGTTTGACTGTAGTCATTATCTGCAACCCATTATACATGAACGAAGAGGACAGACCCTGAGTTTAAAAAGCAACAAGGGAAATCGTAGATTTCAAACCTCCGGGTTTTTTTGTGTTCTATTGGTTTAGGTTATTTGTTTGTGTGTAGTATGAAAGTTATGTGCGTAATATGTTTGTATGTGTTTGATGGCTACTGACGGTTGGTTCGGTATGGACTGTTGATTAAAGTGTCTCACAGTCTGACAGCCTGCACCGTCACCCGCGCCATTACCCCTGCCGTCATCCCGTGCCGTCATTGCTGCGCCGTCACCCAAAATTTTTATCGGATCCAGACACCCCTCTGTTTGACCCCTTTTGAATGCTAAGACCCAAAACTGCAACCGCCCCATTCCTTAACAACATGGTAATTACCATTTTCAGCATGGCGGGGGTGTCCGGAGCACTTAAAAACCTTTTATTTCGACGCCCATAAACACATATGCAATTAAACAAAAACGTTCTGCATCATCTGCAGCCCAATAGCAATACGTATACCGAACCACAGACAAATCCGTCCAGCCGTTCGCGAGAAACAGCTGCTGACAGAAATGTTTCGAACCATAGTAAAACCTCCTCGCGGAAGGATATCTCCTTCCCCGGAGGTAACAAGAGTGCTTTTTCATCGATTCCTAAACTGGTGGCAGCAACAGACACACATTACATACAATAAGCTATAACACAGCTAGGAATCAGCAGTCACAAATTGAATATAGAAACAGGAAGATATTACAATGTAGCCCCTGACCAAAGATTTTGCCCATTTTGCCCACAGAAAATCGAAGATGAATTTCATTTTATCATGGAATGCTCTAGATATGATGTCCTACGTGATAAGCTATTCAAATTTCTCACTTCAAATACGACAGATTTCAATAGACTTGTTGCTAAAGATAGATTTCATTATATATTTAAATGCAACAGCCCACACAATGCAAAAATAGGTAGATACATAAAAGACTGTTTTGTTATCAGAAAGAATACTGATTTGTTGTCACATGTACCCATAAATAACTCCGCTTGATTGTAAAGCCTAAGCTAACTTATTTCTTTTCTATATATAAGTTGTTAAGTTTTATTCTATACCTATCTATTATGCTACTTATTGTTACCTATTTGCCATAAAATGTACCCTGTACAATTGTCGTGCAATAAAGTTCTTCTACAATCACGCCCATGTACCTCGTCAATGCCCATTGCCTTCATAGCCATGGCTCTCTTCTCTAGCTGGGACAGGTACTGCATGGGGTTGTTCAGCGCATCCACAAACTCTGCAGACACAGAGCATTGAAATGAGCATTACAGAAGCATCTAGTAATATTATGTATTTCAATCTTAAGTACAGTTATGCTTACAGTCTCTGCACAGTTCCATAATCGTGCATTTGCCGATTGATGGTCATGTATGACATGAGCAACAGCAGCATCTATACTAACATGTATTCTAAAAATAAGTCACAATAAGTTACACTGCATGCACAGTCTTTGAACATACAGTAGTTCCCAGCATTCTACAAAGGTGCATTTGGGTATTGAAAGTGCTTCATCAGTGTTGTAACTGTTTCTGTGTACAACTGCCTTTTGGCATTACACACCAGATTCTCAGGCATGCAACTTGTCACACCTAACCTTTGCATGTTGAGCTCTAAGCATGGTTTAAACCTATCTAGCGATGATGCCCCAACTGCACTTGCACTTGGTGGCAGCAAGTTCCACTCTCTACCCTATCAAACATTTATTTTTATCTATTTATTACGATTGACCACATAAATAATACACATGGAGGGCATGGTGGAACAGGTGCACCTTAGGCCACCATGCCCACAATGAACTTAACCCTTGTCCTGCTGTGCGCAACATATGTCGCGCGGCACATACAGTACCATCTATATAACACCCTGTATAGGTACGATTTGGGGGTATTTCTCATGCAACGCATCACACCGCTGCGAAACGCAACGAATGCGGAAGTAACTATGCCACTGCAGGGCAAAAAAAATTTGGGGGTCTATGATCTAATTAAGACATGAAATTATTGAAAAATATTGTGCCAGGAATGCCAGCAGGACAAAGGTTAATTAAAATAAAGAATTTCACTGATTTCCCTTGAGCAAATCTGATGAAGTACCTCCTAAGCCGTCGGGAACATAAGTCATGAGGTTGATGTTGCAGAAGAGGCAGGGAAGAGACATGGGGAAGTTGGACTCCGTCCGCAGCCCAACGTGCCTGTAGCCTGGGGAACATACAAAATAGAATTTGTCAGTTAATAGTTTTATCGGGTTGGTAAGACACTGAGTAAAGAGACTCTTTTTACACAACCAAGTCTTTTATTCAGCCGACGTTTCGGTGACCTTCTGTCACCTTCCTCAAGGCCATTCTGACTGGTTCATCACAGTGATGCAATATGAACCAGTCAGAATTGCCCTGAGGAAGGTGACAGACGGTCACTGAAACGTCGGCTGAATAAAAGACTTGGTTGTGTAAAAAGAATCTCTTTACTCAGAATTTGTCAGTGCTGAGAGACACATCTGAAGCATTCAATGGTCTGGTTTACAGGCAATCAGCTGATAGATGTTCACAATCATGTTATAAAAATCTATCAACTTCTAGTTTTCTCTGGCAGTGGCCACAGCCCTATTTGTAACTGACTTCAGTAAGCCTTTCTTCCTCACCTCACGTTTCTCACCTCAGAACTCTTAGAAATAGCAACTCTTTTACCCAGTACAAATGCAGAACTGCCCCGTATCAGAACAGCACTTTTCCCTTCTGTGTACGACTGTTGAAGGATGACATGTAAATATTTGTACGGCCTCCATCTATATAGAATATCTTATTTATGAGTAAAACGTTTCAAAATGTAGTCACCAATTTGATTTTAATATGTCTGGAATTCTATATTGAATGATCGTACTTTCCTGTTTTAATCTATGTGATAAGAATTTTGTATTATGTTGTCAATGAGTCTAACATGAATGAATTGTTAAAGAACCACAATTCAGCCTATGTAAGGCTGCCAGTGTTTTTATCCTCAATAAACCATTTCATCATCATCATCATCATTTCTTCTTGTTTGTCAGGGACACTGGAGAGTTGTCAGAAAGGCGGGTTTATATGTACGGACTATTGATTGATATGCAAAGTAATGAAGACAATTGGTGAACACACCTGCTTGCAGCCCGTCGAGCGGAAGTACACGCTGGCCGATCAGCTTGTTGTTCTCATCGTACACAGCAAATCTCAGTGTGGCGAGGTCCGGTAGCACCACCTTCAATGTGTATAATATACTTTATTAGTGACGTTTATTTCATAAGGGAGGACCTTCACCACTTGACATCACCCCACAGGACAGAGGCAAGTGGCAGGCTGTCATCAAGCCTCAGTACCACAGTGCAAGCACGTCTAACCCTCGGAAGACGGGGAACAACAGACGATAAACCGGACAGTGAGTGAGTAGATGTGACTGATTTCAAAGTAGTCAGTAGTGAATTGAGTAGTTATAATGTAACTATGTATTTTATGCAAGAGGACTCTAGGAAGAGTATTGGATGTATCTGTATAGCCAGTATAACTGCCCTTTGGCATAACACACCAGCTTCGCAGGCATACGGCACAGCAGCAGCTGGCTACATTACACCAAACAACCTGTTACACCTAACCCTTTATACATCAACACAGTGGCAGCTAGCCATACCGAACGACCTGTTACACTTAATCTTTGCAAATTAAATTGCAGGAGTTGTTTAAAGCTTTCTAGTGATGATGCCCCAACTGTGCTGTCAAATGTATTGTCAACACTAATAGACATTCCTTAATAAACAAACAAACTTTGTCAATCGGTAACTATATACATACTAGGAAACTTTTCTATTACTGTATAATGAAGTTCTGATAAATTGTATGTAATTGTATGATCCAACACGTGTCTAAATTATTGTAAATTTTATAGTGTATCTTATCAATTGTATTTGTATGTATACCTAACAATTTTATTGTCTCCCAGGGTTGACCCTTAATAATAGTCTATGACTAGTTGGATAACCCTGGTGGTTGTATGCTGAACAAATAAATAAATAAAGTGGGGTACTTTCTGTTTATAGATAACATCTGTGTCCATAATATCACCATAATCCATAATATCGCCACCTTGAGAAATAGTGTGCTTAAGGATATTTTTACTGCAACATACCCTAGGTATGTACATTTGAGGTGTGCAGGAGTGCATGCCAAAAGTATGTTACAGTAAAAATATCTTAAAGCACACTATTTCTCAAGGTGGCGATATTATGAAACCTGGTGATATTATGGACATGGATGTTACATGTATTACTTTTACTTTATGTATTAGAGTTTAGGGAGGCTCTATGTTTATGTTTATGTCAATGTTTGCGTGAAAATGAATAAAATTAAAAAAATAAATTAATAAATAAACAAACAAACAAACAAACAAACCTTCCTGAAGACGAAGGGCTCCTCGTTGTACTGCGGGTTCAGCCCGTTGGCCGGGATCGTCTTGGTCTTGAACTCCTTGCGTATGGTGTCGGTGGGGAGGCCGTACATCTCCACCTCCACGTACGTACCAACCTTCTTGTCCGACAAGAACTGACCTGAGATCACCTAGTAAGGCCACACCAATTTAATTTCTTGGTTAACGGATTTTTCTAGAAAAATAATGGAACGGGCGGGCAAAAAAAAATGGTCTAGGCATCCTATTATGGCCCAATGGTACGATAGGAGCCATGAAGTCAACACACCAGTCTGAGACTACATGTACATGTAGTTCAAAATTTAAACAATGACTTTTGAACTTTTAATAATATCGTTGCATTGAAAGATGGAATAACTGCAACAACTAGGATGAAAAGGACTGTTTTCAACTGTTCAGGGCAAAATATGAGCATTTTGCAGTTGATTCTGAATTTTTATTTTTATTTGCAAATCAGAAAAACATGAAGCGGACGAATCCGTTAACCAAGAAATTAAATTGGTGTGACCTAAGGACATGAAGTTTTGTATCAAGTTTTATGGGGAAAGGGACTCGCAGGCCTGGTTAGCCCAAATTGCACCCTACATATGATATTATGTACGGTATTATAAAAATTGAAGAGACACTATGAAACCTCCAATATCCAGGACATATCAAAAGTCGACTTCAGTTGAAACCTATACCAACCATCGGTTACAGCCATGTCATATGACTTGTATCAAATTCCTTCCATTTCATTTCACTTCAGACATACCAAAGGAATAAATTGGCCTTTACTCACTTAGCTGTACACTTGAACTGGCAATTCATTTCAGTTAATGTTGGTCTTAATGTTGACAGTTCAGAAGATCTTTTCACACGCCTTTCTAACAAATGTACTAGACAAATATAGTAGTCCTTTTTACACTCAAAGAAAGTGACCGTGTAGCACATCCAGACCATTATCACACCATTCAAGGTTAGAGGGATTGCACTACACAGTCATAGGAGAGTTACAGTGGAAGGGTTTCACACATTGGGCCCACAGTCTGGCTCAGCTAAGCCCAGTATATTACGCTCTTGCAGTCTTTTGTCATGTTTGAACTGCTGTTACCTCGACTTCAATTGTAGCAGCAATAACACCATCCACAGGAGACTCTGCAAACGGATCAAACGTCTTGTCTGGTCTCCTCATGAACTCTGGTTTCAACAGATACCTGTGGCAGAAAGAAAGCAGCATCCAGTAGTACAGTAATAGTCTTCTAGCCAGCCTGAATGTTTTTTTCTTTATCAATTTTGTTTGATGTAAAATCACGTCGAGTGCCATAGGGGGGGCTTGAGGGCATACTCCCCTGGGAAAATTTAAAATCTCAACCCTCTGAAATGCTACTTCCTTCATTTTGAGGGGCAAATTTTGCTGTTAGACTAAGCTTAGTTTAATGACATCTCTTAAGTTTCAGTTTGATTTTTGGGGAAGGAGTGTGGAAGATTACAGATTGGAGAAAAGCTTTTGTCCATCATCAGGGGCGAAATTCCCTCAAAAGAGGCTAGGGAAAGACGGAGGATGGCTAGAACACTGCCAATGATACAGTCATGTTAGTGTAGAGAGTTTTTGGATGGTATCAAACTAAAATGATGGTCCAGTGAAAAATATTGTGCTTTAAGTGCCTTAAGTGTTAAGATGTACCCCCACTCTAGCTTAGTTCCTGTAAAATATATTGCGTGCAAGATATAGAGTGCTCTTTGAAGCAAATCAGACACACAACAGACACAAAGTGCCTCAACAGGACTTCAACACTTTTCCGGTGTTTCCGGGCAGATCACTCAAAAGGAGGCAGTAAGTCACCACATTCTCCATTTCAGGTCTCCATTTCACCTAAGCTGAACATCCTGTCTTTTTATCCTCCATTTTTCACCTTTTGGCACAGTCGGTTTAAATCACTGTCAACTGACAACTGACTTTCCTGCAGCTTTGGTTATGTAAAGTCAAAAAAGTCAGATTTGCATTCATAGAATAAGGTGTATATTTCAGTCAGTCAAGAGAAAATTTCATGCTGACAGTTTCTTCCCCAGAACCACTTCACTGTGGAACAAGCTTCCCCGTGAATGTTTCACCGCTAATTACAACCTCCAACGGTTTAAATCAAGGGTGAACAAATATCTGACCACGCAGTCATCACTGTAACCCAAAACATGTAAGTGGCTCTCACGAGCCTTGTTTTGAGGTGAATTCTGAAGTAAATAAAAAAATAAAAAAATTTATCAAATGATTTTAATGTATATTCTGGGCACAATAAAGGATAAATTCTAAATAAAATGTACATTTTAAAGGAAAGACAGCAAAATTGCGTACCGTTTAAATTCAGTTTAACTGCATACATTTTGCTGCTTTTCCTTTGACTGACTGACTAAGTATCTTTACAACAAAATATCTAAATGCTGTTTAAAACTTACCCGCACTTGCCATTGTATTCAAATTTTCCTTGGTTCAGCTGCATGGACAAATCTACAGAATCAAAGAAAGACAACATTAAAAAGTCTCTTTTTTTTCAAACTTTTCTCTTCCATACTGATCAAAATTATACAATTTAACACAGACAAAGGGAACAGCAATGGAAATGGTACAATATGGATTGAATAGCAAAAAGTTCTTTAATCACAACAAGAGCCAACTTTTACATGACTGTTGTTACCGTATCTTCACTGGGGCTATTATGACTGGTTCAGTAGCTTCAGTGCACTGCTTTTCAATGATTCAGGGCCACCTCAGGCCAAACCAATTTAATTGGTTGGTTCTCGGATTTTGTCAGAAAAATATGAAGCGACAGGGCGAAAAAAAATAAAAATAAAAACAGGTCTAGGCATCCTATCATAGCCCCAAATGCTAAGATAGGAGCCATGAAGTCAACACAAAGGGCTGGGTTAATATTTAAACAATGAATTTTGAACTTTTAATCAAACCACTGCATTGATAGATGGAGAAACTGTAACAACTAGGAAGAAAAGGACTTTCTTCAACTGTTGGGGGCAAAATATGAGCATTTTTGAGTTGCTTCCGAACCAGAATTCTTTTTTTTTTTGCAAATCAGAAAAAAAATGAAGAGGCGAATCCGAGAACCAACAAATTAATTGGTATGGCCTCCATTTGATTTGTTGGTTCTCAGATTTGTCCACTTAATTTTTTTCTGATTTGCAAAAAAAAAAAAAGATCCAGGTTCTGAATCCACTCCAATATGCTAATTTTTCAATGCACTGGTTTAACAAAAAGTTTAAAATTCATTGTTTGAATTGTAAGCCTGGTATATTGACTTCATAGCTCCTACTGTAGCTTTTGGAGCTATCATAGGATGCCTAGGCCTGTTTTTTTTTCGCCCTGTTCCTTCAGATTTTTCCTAAAAGAATCATATAGAACCAACAAATCAAATTGGTGTGGTCTAATGTCATGTAAAAACAACTCAGGTCCCGGTCAGTCAGAGGATCACCAAACACCAGCTAAACCTCCTGGGTCACATCTCTAGAGCTACACCCACCCAGGAATTGATCAAACTGATCACCACAGCCCCAGATCCAACTTGGAGGCGCCCTAGAGGCCGTCCCAGGAGCAGATGGGAGGAACAGGTTTTCAACGTGCTGGACAGTTTAGGGTTCAGCTGAACTGACCAGAGAGCGCTGGCAGAAAACAGAACATCCTGGAGGGACATGTCTGCAGCCGCTATGCATCTGCCCTGATGCTTGCGGCTTGATTGATTGAATCTCATGTAACTATTCACCTGGAGTTTGGTAGTTGAGAGCCACCATCTGGCATCCTGCGTTCCAGAAGATCTGCGGCATGTAGTTGCTGGAGTCCACACGCGCACCCTTGGGGTAGATCCTGCTCATCTGGCGCTTGTTATAGCTGAAGGGCTGGTCAAGGACTTTGACAAGGATCCACATTTAGCATACATGTACACGACAGTAGCTATTCTTCCTGTGGTCCGTTCTAACATACAACACGACACACAAGGAAAATATACAAAACATAAATACATAACTACAATGCATCATCTGACGCTTGTTTTAGCTGAAGGGCTGGTCAAGGACTGACTTGTGTACAAATCACAGGACATGCCAGAAGAACCATTGCATTTAGAGCACATTGGCAGAACGTACTGCGCCTTGCAAAACCCTAATTTTTCACGGTTTTCGTTGGATGTTTGGTCAACGTTGCATCAGAATTTTGCCTGTTGCAGACGATATATTTTCCCGATATGACATTTGGAAACTACAGATGGAGTGTTAACCTTATATGCACAATTACGACCTTATGCCGACGTGCTTAAAAAGACATGCAAGAAACATGGTATGTACTAGATACTTCCGTACATGCCCCAAAATTAGCCTTGCGGGAACTAAAAGGATCTGAAAGGAGAATGAGTTTTTTAAAGTTTGCAGAGGTTGTCAGAGACACATGCATGTTGGTAAATGAAAGAAACTAACTCTTGATGAGTGGCAAAAGTTATCCATGGCAAATTTGGACGAAGCTCACTTAAAAAGTACACATTAGGCTGAAAAGTTATGGTCCTGAGATATCATCAATGTTCCTTTGGATTCTGTATCTTTGGCGTAACACACCAGCACAAGATTCCACCTTGCCAACCACAAGAGATGTTAACTTTCAGCACACTAGCAACAACACTTCACTTCAACGTACTTTGGCCAAACAAGTTGCACTGTTAAAGAAAGAACATGATAACACACGATATGCAACGCACATGCAGCATTTCGAAGACGGCTGTATTGCCAGGCAAGTTGATCATGCACCCTGAAAGAAAACAGAAACCACATGCAATATGAGCTCCATTTTGCATGCATAGCTATGCATCATAATAGTTGTGGGTAGTCCCTGTAGGCAGCAGGATGCTTGACGAACTCTATCACACTGGTCTTCATGTAGCCCAGCCCGGCAGATTCATTGAAGGACGACATGTGGCAGGTGATGTTCCTCTCTGAAAGACAAGATGTTCAAAAGGATTTGAAGGCATCCAGTGCAGTTTCTAGGGCTTGGAAACCTGATTTTTCAAAGCAAATATTCTAGTCATTTTTATCTACTGAGTTGAAGCCACACTATCCCAATGTATATTGACCCTCATGGAGCAAAGTCCCAAAATTCTGACGAAAAATGGTTACTGGACGAGGCCTGAGCAGATTTTTAGGGTACCACCCAGAAAATAAAGGGGCTTGTTTCTGCAGTTTTAAAGGCCCGAAGTATGAAATGCTGATTTAAATGTGCTAATGTGAAGCAGTATGTGTCAATATCACAAAGATTGCCTTATTCAGAACATTTCCAGTTTTGCTGCCCTGAAATCGCATTGGATGCCTTTAAGTGGCTGAAGTTGGTGTTTTCCGTGAGAAGGCAGACCAGCACCAGTATATTCGCCAGTAACAGGCTAGATACCTTTTACGATACATTCAGGAAACTGACATATTCATTTGTCTCTCAACTCCTTTGCTCTAGTCTCTAATAATTCCATTTTATCCTGATCCTTGTCCATTCAGATTCGTACAATCACAGAACTTTCTGGAGGCATTACATAAATCTTGTTTTTAAAACACAGCTCTTTTTCAGATAGGCTATGGGTATATTCGTGTTGTTACGTAGTCTTCTTCTTTCTCTGTATGTGTGTATTTATGGGCAAGGTCCCTGAATCAAAGGAATAAATAAGATAAAATTAACAGTATCATTTACATAGCTTGATCACCAAACCTATTTTAGCTCCCGAGTCCTACATCCTTAAGCAGCTATTTATGGAGAGGATGTAGGACTCCGGAACTAAAATAGATTTGGTAACCTGACACTGACAGGGTTGGACAAGTTTTCAAAAATCCACTTGCCCTATTGGGCAAGTACATGGACATCTCCACTTGCCCGAACCAACTTTTCACTTGCCCAAAATAACACATTTTTATATGCATTTTCACTACCAGCAAGAAAACTATTTTCATTTTAGAGTTATCAAAATAAGGTGGTTTGAGACTTAATATAATATCATTATGGTCCAAATCATGAGTAATTTTGCTCTAAACACCATAGCGGGTATACTTCGCATCCCAAAAATTTACTTTCCCAATCGGGCAAGTACAGGGGGATATTCACTTGCCCGAACAGTACTTTTACTTGCCCTGGGCAAGTGGGCAATAGGACTTGTCCAACCCTTAACCAGGTTATCATTAACATGTAGTAGGAGAGAGTCAGAGCTGCACTGCATAGACAATGATGTGGTTCACAGGAACAAAACTGATGCAGCAAAAATGCATGCACATACAGGAAGGATACTTGACAAATTCGATGGCACTTGTCTTTAGGTACCCGAGGCAAGCGGATTCGTTGAAAGATGACATGTTGTGGTGAATGTTGCGATCTGGTAAACAGAAACAAGGCAAAAGTCATGCAAGAAGCATGCAATGGCATACAGGCAAAAAACATGTAACAAAGGGCTTCATTTGGCTTGTAGCAAATGAATGTGGCAAAATATAATCACACCTTAGTACTGTTCAGATGGCAATGGATGAACTGTGTAATAGTAAGACATATAAACTAGCAAATATAACAGAAACCTGTAACAGCATTAGATCACAAGAATTGAGCAACTTGCCCAAGATGGCTGCCTGTTTATTTTATTTTTTATTAAGGCCACCTGCCCAAGAGGACCACTTTACCACTGTTTCCCTGGGTGGTCCTCTTGGGCAGGTTTGACTGTATTTGATACCCAGATGCTGTCCTTGGTGCTGATCTAGTTGCAACTGTTGTTATCCTGATTGTCCTGATTAGAAATCACTTGTCTGATATACCAATGTTCTGGCTGCATTCGGTGGTCTTCTTCGGCAGGTTTAACTGCACTTGAAAGCCTATAAAGAGCTTGTACAACCACATTGACAAACCTGACAAGCAGCCACCTCTTGATGGTGACCACCTGGTTATAACAACCACCTTTTCCTGGTCCCTACAATTTCTTCCATCAGCGCAAGCATTAAGAGACCTTCCCTATCCAAGTAGGGTGGCCTTCTTGGGCAGGTGCCATACTTAAAAGCATAAAAAGCAGCGTGTCGGCAGAATGCACTGCGCCTGCACAAAACCCTTTTCATGATTTTCATTGAATGTTTGGTCAATGTTGCATCGGAATTTTGCCTGTTGCAATTAGAAACTACAAAACTACTTTATGCGCAAATACGACCTTATACAAGACGTTCTGCCGAAGAGCTATGCACAATACACTATGGGTTTTGCAGGAGCAGTGCATTCTGCCCACGTGGGATGAAAAGCAAGCTTGCACCATGCCTTCCGCCACGTCGAAGCTGGCAAACTTGACAGGTTGTGCGTAGTTGACCATGGAGGAGAGCCAGGAGTGCACATTGTTGGTGGCATTTTTCCACTAGGTTATGACCAGCCCAAGAAGACCACTTGTGCAAGATCACTTTACCTTGGGCAGGTTTGACTTAAAAAGGGTCAAAAGAGTTTGTACCATACCTTCGGCCACGTCAAAGCCTCCGAACTTGACGGGCTGTGCGTAGTTGACCATGGAGGAGAGCCAGGGGTGCACGTTGGTGGTGGCTCCCTGGTACTGGTACTGTGCCATGGCCATGGCCTGTTCCTCCTCCTGCGACAGGCTCATCGCACTCTGGGGACAATAAGGAGTAGAAATGGCGGTTTAGTTTGAATAGCTTTAATCAGTTTTACACAGGGGTGCACATTGGTGGTGGCTCCCTGGTACTGGTACTGTGCCATGGCCATGGCCTGTTCCTCCTCCTGCGACAGGCTCATCGCACTCTGCAGACAGAAGGATCAACGGGTGAATTTATCATCTGTATCTGTATCTGTATAGCCGGTATAACTGCCCTTCGGCGTAACACACCAGCTTCGCAGGCGCGGCGGCAGCTAGCTATATCACACCGAACGACTTGTTACTCTCGATCTTTGCACATTTGATTGCAGGAGTAGTTTAAAGCTCTCTAGTGATGCCCCAACTGTGCTTGGTGGCAACGAGTTCCAGTCTACGATAGTTCTGGGGAAATACGAGTTTTTGAATACCTCAATTCTTGGTTGATAACTCTGATATTTGAAGGCATGACTGTTTCTTGTTCTTTTCTGGGCTGGTATCAGATACTTAGTGGTTGGTACGTCCACCAGTTTATTAGTCATTTTGTACATCATGCACAGTCTGGACATTCTACGTCTGTCATCATGATATGTCGATGAAGATTAGACATCCAGGTAATGAGAAACAAGGTAACAGTTACTGGATAGATTTAAAAAAATGGTGTTTCAGGTAGCATCCACTACCTTTTTCAGTCTGATGAAAGGTAGTGGATGCTACCTGAAACAATAATCCACTGTGCTGACTTTCCGGAAGACGGAAGCGTGATGACTTCAGGAGTGAAGTGGCATGCAGGAAGAGAAAATCTCCCACTGTGACAGTTCAGAGAGGGTCCCTGATGTAAGTGTGGATCATTCTGACAAAGTTTGACTGAAAATTCATAGTGAGTTCCCTTTTTTCTTGAAACAAAGTCTTAACTCTACAACAACTCTTTCTACCAACACAGATGAGCTTTCATTCAAATACACGTATATGGTGACCACCTCCACCAAACTCTGTCTTGCTACATAATGTAATGTTTTCTAGGCACAATGGTGACAGACCTCATCTCCAGGTCACTTTATTTGTTTGGACATGAAGAAGAAACAGAGCATAAACAACTGTGAGGGTAAACATAAATATGATCTTCACCTTTTTGTTCTTGAGGGAGCCGTTCTTGCCCTCCTCCTGGATGTCACTGCTGCTGTTGGACTTGTTGAACTTGAACTCCTGCGGGTTCCCGTCCTCGGATGGTGAGCTGACTCCATTTTCTCCTGAAAGCAGGCAACACTCCAGTACCTCAACTTCAACACTCCAGTACCTCAACTTCAACACTCCAGTACCTCAACTTCAACACTCCAGTACCTCAACTTCAACACTCCAGTACCTCAACTTCAACACTCCAGTACCTCACCTTCAACACTCCGGTACGTCAACTTCAACACTCCAGTACCTCAACTTCAACACTCCAGTACCTCACCTTCAACACTCCAGTACCTCACCTTCAACACTCCGGTACCTCAACTTCAACACTCCGGTACCTCACCTTCAACACTCCGGTACCTCAACTTCAACACTCCAGTACCTAAACTTCAACACTCCGGTACCTAAACTTCAACACTCCGGTACTTTAGGTACTGGAGTCAACACTCCAGTACCTCACCTTCAACACTCCGGTACCTCAACTTCAACACTCCGGTACCTCAACTTCAACACTCCGGTACCTCAACTTCAACACTCCAGTACCTAAACGTCAACACTCTGGTACCTAAACTTCAATGTGATCATGCAATCCTAGATGTTCTAGCTACAAAACTCTCTTTAAAAGACTTGGGAAACGCTGAAAACTTTGTATGCCAAGCTAGAAGTTCTACCCATAAACCTCTCTTTAAAAATCTTGCAGTGTGTTAGTAGAAAAATTGCTTTACTTGGCAACTTAACTACCTGCTACTTAACTATGACAGCTGGTACCTGACCTCATTAAGCATAGTGCTTCTTATACTTGTAATTAGAATTACTACATGTACAAAAATATATTTACAGTTTAGCAGTCTGAAGGGGAGCTTTTTCAAGTAGTTTATAGTGCAATACAGTTCATAAATCAAAGGACAAGACAAAATCAGCCGTCTTCATCATAATCATCTGAAACATCTGACCCATACCAGACTCAGAATGCTCCTCCTCCTCCACCTCCAGGTTCCCCTCCCCCTTCCAGAACAGCTCCAGTTGCTCTGAAACAGAAAACAGACACTTCTCAGTACAGACATTTCTCGGGAACATGAGTCATAAAGTTCCAAGAAACTGCAAATGCTAACTGGAGGCAGAAATTTCTAGGAAACTGCAAATCCTGTCTGGAAGAGGCTTAACGGTTTCGAGCACGTCTCCTTTTCTCACTGCAGTTGTGTTTAACAATGGATCACAGGAACAAAAATGCAGCAGTGCATATCATGTAATGTTCTGCCTACTCAGACACAAAAAGTACCTTTAAGACAAGGCAGCCATGTAACAAATATTGACACTTTCTTTTCCAAGAATGTCTGGCTGTATGTAAACATTAGTGTGTCGATGAAGGCTAGACATTCAGGTAATGAAATACACAAGAAAACAGTTAACTGGATGTCTAGCCTTCATCGACACACCCAATCAACTGGTTAGGTTTCTAAAAATATTAATTGACATCTTTAAAAATCTATCTACAGATCTAGTTGCTTGAGTTACCCATTAAGCAACTGGACAGATTTTTAAAAATTAAAAGACATCTTTGAAAATATATTATATCTATCCATCTTGCGTTACATGAGCAAATGGACAGATTAACAACAACAACAATGGCATCTTTTGAAAATCTATAGTATCTACTTGCTTGAGTTACTGTTCTCCTGTGTAAAGAATGTTGCATCTTACTTTTTTCCATCTCTGGTTTCAGCCTCTTGTTCTTGATGAGGATTTTCCTCTTCAGTGCGTTGGGTGGAGGGAGCACTTTTCCTTCTTCCAGCTGGAGGCAAAAAAAGGGCACATTTATCTGAAGAGCACTTGTTTCAGCTCGAGAACAAGCTGCTGAAAGGTCAAGAAGCTGTTGTTTGACAGCCTGCTAGATGTCTTCTTCTTTTTCCATACTGCTAAGCCCCATTACTGTGTTAGGTGATCGGAACATAGAAACACAGGGAAAGAAAATGATAACATAGAAGAGAACATATTTAAATAACTGTTTTTGGGGGGAAAGTTGAGTGAGCATAGTGCACTAGTAATATTTACATAAGGCCACATCAATTTGATTTCTTGGTTAACGGATTTTTGAAGAAAAATAATGGAGCGGGCGGCCGAAAAAAAAATAAAAATAAAAACAGGCCTAGGCATCCTATTATGGCCCAAAATGGTACAATAGGAGCCATGAAGTCAACATACCATGCTGGTTCAAAATTTAAACAATGAATTTTTAACCTTTAATGATACCACTGCATTGAAAGATGGAATAACTGTAACAACTAGGAATAAAAGGACTGTTTTCAACTGTTCAGGGCAAAATATGAGCATTTTGCAGTTGATTCTGAATTTTTATTTTTATTTGCAAATCAGAAAAAAATGAAGCGGGCGAATCCGTTAACCAAGAAATTAAATTGGTGTGGCCTAATATACAATGATGTGCTGTGGAAGCTCAATGTAGCAGGGTCCTCGTCAGTTCAATTTTGAACTGGATGAGAGACAAAACAGTCAAGTCCATTTTCTGGTAGTCTGGGGGAAGAATGAGATAAGCACGTCGGCAGAACGTACTGCGCCTGCGCAGAACCCCGTATTTTTGCGTTTTTCGTTGGGTTTTTGTTCGACGTTGCGTCAGAATTTTGCCTGTTGCAGAGGATATTCTTTCCGACACAACATTTGGAAACTACAGTCGAAATGCTAACCTTACATGAGCGAATACAACCTTATATGAGACATTCTGCCAAAGTGCTATGTACAATACATTACGGGTTTCGCACAGGTGCAGTACGTTCTGCTGACGTGCTAATGAGATACATGTAGTTTTTTTGTACACAATTTCCATCTTTAACTTCAGCTGTCATAGCATGAAATAATGTTACTCACGGCATAGTCTTCCAATGGCTCCTTGAGCAGAAGGTCTCCAAATATCTCATCACAGTATTTTGCCAGCTTGTACTGCTGAGCTTTGCTGTGAACATATCCATTCATGAATCAAGATAAGAGTACAAGACAAGACAAGACAAGACAATACAGTTTTGCTTGTTTAGGTAATCTAAAGGCGACTATCTCTTTCTACACCATGAGCAAGAGAAATACAATGCCAGGCAGGTGGTAGCAGATTCTATCCTTTTCTTATGTTAAAAATTATCCTGGATGCCATCCAATTTGTAACAAAGCTCCATACACTCCCTGGCCCAATTTTTTAAAAATCTGGTGGGCAGATAATAATGTACTCTGGACTAGACAATCAACAGAGATCAGATACTATTAGGCAGCTCCTGAAAGAAAAGCCTGCTTCTTTGGAACTGCCAGCAAACAATGAGATAATGGGGAGTTCAATGTACCTTTGCCTTGGTTTGTGTGTACAATGTATTATGTATATGGACCTATTCTATACTTACCAGCAGTGGTTCTCAAAGGACAGGATCACTGGGTAGTCAGAAGCCTCGAATGCTGTCTCTGCAATGGCGTGGATCACGTCCTAAACCATAGGGATGAAAAATATTCATTGCTTTCTTCTCCTGTCACCATGGTAACTGGTGCTGTAGCAGACACCCTGTGGTGTGCTTTTTGTTACATTATGTAGCAAGTTGCAGTACAGAGTTGGAGAGACTGGTCACCATACATAATTATGAACGTGGTTGAGTAAAAAAAAAACAAGAGCAGTAGATTGTTAGGCTAGACCATGTTAAGGTGAACATTAGGCATTTGCTTTGCAAAGGTTACCTTCAAGTTTCAACCATGTTTGATAAATAAAATTCTGACAATAATTATAATAGTCCGGGAAAATTAAATTGTCTTCAACTCATATATTACTATGTCTTTCAATGCTGCTCCTGTATAACTTATTTTAGAATGTATAGTATTACCTGTATTTTTAATATATGATATCAATGCTTTGTAAATTGGTTTACAATTCAGTTTTTACCGGCAAAGAACCAATACAATTATCTTGAATCTGAATGAAAACTTCCTCAAAAGCTAGAGTTTAGACTTTTTTTCCACTGACCTTGAAAAGTACGTCTGTGCACATGGCCTTGCCGTGGGTAATGATGGGCTCCTGGTCCTCACCCTTCCCATCCCAACAGTCCAGCTCCACACATCTGAGGAAGTACATTAATTATGACGTTTACCGAAGGAAAACATATTGTTTTTGCTACGTTTCCTCTTCTTCTTCTCCAAACAGTGACCTCTGACCTGACTGAACCAGACTGTGTCTGAATCTTACCAGAATCTGACGATGGTAACTGGTGTTGGGTTACCTAATGTTGCAATTTTATAGTAGGAGTGATTTAGACTCCTGTCACTATGTATGTGAATGTGTATGAGTAAGAATAAACAGAGCAGACCATATGCGAAGGTAAACATTATGCATTTGCTTTGCAAATGTTAAATTTCTAGTTTCGATTTCAGTTTGATTGTAAAATTAAACCAGCAGAAGTATGAGATACATGTATGTCTGAATTGTATTATAATAGATTTCTACAAAGATTGATTACAACTATACTGTTCACCTCACTACTGGTACTTTATGCAATATTATACATAAACATTAACAAACTGACTTGTTATACATACAGATGGATAGCTTGGATCTTCCTCCAGCCTTCAGCAATTCAAACCGCAGTCAGGCTTGTACCTCGGGTGATTTGAAATACACCATGTATTGTATCCTATATGTAAATGTTGTCTTCCGACAGCGAGAGTTACTAGTACTAGTAGAAATAACATCCCACCTGCATCCTGCCAGCAGCACCTGTCTGTAAATCCTCACAGAGATCCCTGTTCATTTCCTTAGCCTTACATTTCCTTACTGCGCTGTTTGTACTTACTGTACAAAACTTGTTTGTTACGCCTAAGGCCATGTTGATTTGATTATATGGATGACATCCGCGCGCGCATGAATTTTCGGCCGTTTCCAAAAAAAAAAAGTTTTCAACCATACTGTAAATCATACAAAACAGTTGCAATATGAGCAAAAATATACCATAAGTTACAAAAAAAATTAATAAAAGCTATACCAATGTCGTAGAATGCCAAACTCAAACGAAACAAGACGAAATTGTAAAGAAATGAACTTGAAGACTAGATTATTCGCCAAACCATATTTTGTGCCATTTGCTCAACCCTCATGACCACGTAGATTTCATAATGAAAAGAACTTTTTTTTTTTTTGCAAAACTTTTTTTTTATTCGCACGCGCGCATCAGTTTTGGGGCTCCCGGAGGATGTCATCCATATAATCAAATCAACATGGCCTAAGGGTGGTTTACCGGTTATGGAAAACAAACAAACAAAATCCCACCTGCATCCTGCCAGCAGCACCTGTCTGTAAATCTCGACGGATGACTTCCCGCCAAACTGCCTGCCTGTGAGGTACGTGTTGTGGGAGGAGTTGATGTAGTAGTGGCAGAGCGGCTGGTCCATATCCTGATACTCCTCCAGCCTGTCCAGGAACACCGGAGCATTCTCGTCGCTCATCAGGTACCGAGTAAAGCCCTCCACGCTCATCCACTCTGGAAAAAATATACCATAACTCTGTTAGTGGCTGGTTTGTTTGTTTGTTTGTCCAGGAACACCGGAGCATTCTCGTCGCTCATCAGGTACCAAGTAAAACCCTCCACGCTCATCCACTCTGGAAAAAATATACCATAAGTCTGTTAGTGGCTGGTTTGTTTGTTTGTTTGTTTGTTTGTCCAGGAACACCGGAGCATTCTCGTCACTCATCAGGTACCGAGTGAAGCCCTCCACACTCATCCACTCTGGAAAAAATCGCAAACCTTATTGCTCATAACTAAAAAATATACAAAGGCAGAGGGAGCACCTTTGTTACTCCCTGGATGGAGTGCAATTTTGTCACATTTTACAAAAAGAAATTACAGACAAGTATACAGCGTTGAGGACAGTGAAACATGTAGTTCATGACAAGTTGTTCTTTAATGGCTCAGTGCATGAAGGATTGTCAGTGGCTGGTTTGTTTGTATGTTTGTGTCTTTGTTTGTTTGTTTGTCCAGGAACACCGGAGCATTCTCGTCGCTCATCAGGTACCAAGTGAAGCCCTCCACACTCATCCACTCTGGAAAAAATATACCATAACTCTGTTAGTGGCTGGTCTGTTTGTTTGTTTGTTTGTCTGTTTGTTTGTTTGTTTGTCCAGGAACACCGGAGCATTCTCGTCGCTCATCAGGTACCAAGTGAAGCCCTCCACACTCATCCACTCTGGAAAAACAATTTCATATCAAACTTTATTGCTCAAAATACACTTATTATTGTTGGGCATGTACATGTGCTTCTTCCTGTGGAATAGTGAAAACTGTAGTCCATAACCCTCAAGGTAAGTTGTTATAGAGTCTAATGTAATGGCTCAGCACATGAAGGATTGTCAGTGGCTCGTTTGTTTGTTTGTTTGTTTGTTTGTTTGTTTGTCCAGGAACACTGGAGCATTCTCGTGCTCACAGAGGAGGTACTCTTCTACTGATCATGACAGAGAAGAGCGTACAGTATTAATTTTTTTTACTGTTCATTGTGCCGGGGAAATTCCCAATTTTCCCAAATTTACAACAAGCGCAATGAACAGTTGACCAAGGCTTAACGTTCCGTCCTATGGACTGTGACACTTTCCAGTAGCGTGAGAAACATCAGCCAGGATTCGAACATCTCCATGCTCATCCACTCTGCAAAAATATAACTCAGTTAATGGCTGGTTTGTTCTTTGTTTGAACCTAGTATGTTATTTTTCACATACTCAAAAGAAGACCAGAGAGAGATATATATTCAAATTGGTCTGATGTACTAACCAAAGTACTTTTCAAAAGCTCCTACCAGTAATCGCATTCCCTACAGAGCAAACCTCAACTAATCATCTGTTTGTCCTTTAGGCAATCTGTTACCTAGCTGCTCATTATATCAGTGATAAAATCTTACCCTGTATACCAGAGGCAAGCTGACTTCAAGGGAATGCAATCAATTTCTTTTTTTTTTAAATATCCAAGAATGAAAGGCTTGGGCTGATGATATTGGAGCCCTTATAATAGACCTCTCCAGACAGAGTAATTTGATTTGGGCTGGAATATTGGTCTAAAGGTCAAACAGGCAAGCAGTTCAATGGGCCCAGCATAGACGATTAGAGCACGTTACTGAGCTTTGGGATTGTGTGGTACTGGCAGGGTGTTCGGCGCAGAGACCAGAGGTCCTTTGTTCATATCCTGTAATGTCACCAATCTTGTGCCCTTGGGAAAGGCACTTTGCATGACTTTCCTCACTCCACCCAGGTGAACAAATTGGGTACCTGACTTTGGATGGGGGAGTTAAAAGTCTGTGGAAGGAGAGGGATGGGCTCAGCCTTCCAATACCGTGCCCTAGACACAGTGGATTAACAACCAACTGTTCTTTTGGCCCCCAAAAAAGCTATGGCACTACCTTCACCTTTACTGATCTTTATTTAAAACTTTCCTCAACCTCAATACAATAAAGGGCTAGCATTCTATATGACAAAACATGGACATGAACACCAGAAATGTACAGCCTTCAACAGTGTTTTAGAAAGTGTCTGTCTTTCCATCATTTGAGGCTATTTTGCACACGATGGACAAATATTTTGCCCAATCTGTCATATTTGTCAGACAAAAGTAGGCATGTAAAGACATGTGCAGAGATGTCATTCAACTAGCTTAGTCTACCAGCAAATTTTGCTCTTCAAAATACAGGAAATAGCATTTCAGAGCATCAAGATTTCAAAATTTTCTCAAGCCAGCATACTCTTCTGCCCCTAGCCAGGGGGGGAGATGATACTATCCCATCATCCTTTGCAATACACATTCCACAACACGTGTCCCAGATGGCTGACTGTCAGCACCAGGCATATAGTCTTGTCCTTTAAAAGTGCAGCAATGGCAACAATTTGACCAGTAATTTTTGGTTCTTTGAATTAGCAAAGGACTCAAGTAGTGTATGAGGCTATCTGACTTTTGTAACTTATGTACAACTTCTTACATTGTGTCATAAACATTTATGCAAACATTTGCTTCAAAATTGGTGCTCAAACTTCACCAAACTAAAGTGCTTTTCTACAAACTCTGTTGATTGGTGATATTATACATCTTGTGCATCAGAAAACCCCAAATGCACCAAAAAGCACCCATGGGAAACAGAAGAAAATATTATATTTGATATGATTTATGTAATAATCATCAACAAATAGAAATTTTCTTAAATTAAATTCAGATCACAAAAACAAATATTCTGGCTGGCTAGAACACTGGTCTCCCACCTTACGTGACTAAAACTCCCTTTCAAATGTCCTTTTTTTCCACAGTGCTTGACTTGTGCAACCTCAAGATGTTCAGCACCATGGACAGCACCAGGTTTTAACCAACCTGCTCCACACAAAACGCTAAAGTTTTGTACTCAATTGGTAAGCTAAGCATTTTTGACCTTAATTTCATGCTTTGGGTAGCCTGGGTACCATCCTACTTGTATGCCGGGGCTCCCACACTCGCTTCCCTAACAAGTAGTCTGGGAACGGTTAGATCTATTTGGTTTGGTGATGATGTCACATAATGAGGTAGGCCACATGTGGGGGGCTGGGCGGAGCCTCTTCCACTAGTAGATGGATGACCCATCAGTCCACGTGGCCATGTGCTGTTTTGGTAAGGGCAAAAAAGTTGCTGCATATGTAAGACAAGTACAGCCACAAACTTACCTCGAGTACAAGCATTTCTTGTAATTTTCTTTATTGCAAGATGTTCTTTGTGGCTGTGTTACTTCGAATGTCAGCAAAATCATGACAACAGTGTCTCTCAAGGGCTACTCCACTCCGTCCAAGATAAATAAACAACTCCTTCCTTGGTCAGTGATACCTGCTGAGCAGGCATGAGATAAGCATCACCACATACTGAGAATGACGTTAGGCTAATGAACAAGACAGAAGGGACCAATCAGCACACTCGGGCAAATCTGACCGAGAATCTTCAATTCCAGATGGTTGATCTAACCGTTCCCAGACTACTTGTTAGGGAAGTGAGTGTGGGAGCCCTGGCATACAAGTAGAATGGTACCCAGGCTATGCTTTGGGTGCACTCCAACAACAAAGTGCATCTCTTGACCTGGTGCTTTCACCTCCTCAACTCTCTGCAGGTTCATATTTTAACAACCATTGAACCATGCCAAGTCAAGCATAGTTCAAAATTAAAAATATGTACATGTACATTAGGCCACACCAATTTAATTTGTTGGTTCTCGGATTCGCCTCTTCGTTTTTTCTGATTTGCAAAAAAAAAAATGTGATTCTGGTCCTGAATCAACTGAAAAATGCTCATATTTTGCCCCCAACAGTTGAGGAAAGTCCTTTTCTTGCTACTTGTTACAGTTTTCCCATCTATCATTGCAGTGGTTTGATTAAAAGTTCAAAATTCAATGTTTAAATTTTAACCCAGCCTTTTGTGTTGACTTCATGGCTCATTCCGTAGCATTTAAGCCTATAATGGGATGCCTAGACCTGTTTTTATTTTTATTTTTTTCGCCCTGTCGCTTCATATTTTTTCTGAAAAAATCCGAGAACCAACAAATTAAATTGGTGTGGCCTTAGGTACAGATATGGAAGAAACTTTAAATTGTCCTAATTATGCTATTCTTTTATCAACCGATTG